ACTTGTTCTGAATAGGGAGTTTCAGATTTCATGACAACTGGATTCACTTACAAGTTAAACCCTTGAATTAAAGCAAACCAAGTACAAGGGTACCTGCGGTACACTGAGATTTTAATGGTAAGTGAGGTCTTATTTCAAGAAATTAGAATAGTTCTGTGGCATTTATCACATTTGTGAGCTTGATTACTTCCAATTATACCATAAACCAAATAGCAAGCCATGCTTAAAAACTGTAATGAACTTAGTCAACCAGATGATGTCAGTACCAAAGCAAATGGACTTCAATGAAGCCAAAGTGCCTTCACAGTTTGGTGCTGGTGACAAAGGTATTCCCTGTGAAAACTGCCAAAGCATTGTAAATATCCTCATTTGCTAACCTTGGCATTGGACATTATCTAAAACAGCTAATCCACACTAACATGGTTCAGCAAAGAACTTTTATTAAAGGACACATAATTCTAACCTGAGTCTTTAAATTTCATGTATGCAATTCTCATTGAATTCAATATAGTTTGGGGTTTCGCAGCTGCTGGAAAGGGTATCAGGTGGCAAGAATACTTGCTAATAAGATTAAAAATTGAAATGTAAATTGGCTAACATTTTGCATGGATTATCACATGCTCAAGAATCAGAATTTCAGCTTGGCCTCCATTCAACCAAGTGTCTCTCTATTTCTGCCCAAATTGATCTTGATAATGGTTGGTGAACTCAAACACACCACAATGCACACAGCTTTTGCCAAATGGCAGGCGAGCATCTCAAGAAAGATAACAGGGCACATGTTTAGCAAGAAGGTCTCACAGCACAGCTGTGTCCAACGGCTGCTCTTTTAAATATTCCTTTCACAGCGACCAGGCCTCCCTTCTACTGCTGGCTTCTTAGATGGCAGAGGAGGAAAGAGGAGTCACAGTAAGTTGGGGGTGGAGAGGAGACCCAGTCAGAAACTCACAAAGCTTTGAGGAACTCTTTAAATTAGAATCACAAAAAAGAAAATGCTCCAAAACAACAACAACAACAACAACAACAACAACACAAAAAACACATGAAAAGATGCACAACATCACAGTAATTATAGAAATTCAAATCAAGACTACAATGAGAGACCACTTCAAAAACACTAGGACGGCTACAATAAAAAAGATGAACAGTGAGTGTTGACGAGGATGCGGAGAAACTGGAACCCTCACCCACTGCTGGTGGAAATGTGAAACAATGCAGGGGCAGTTTCTCAAAATGTTAAAACAGAGTTACCATGTGACCCAGCAATTCCACTCCCAGGTAGTTATCTACAGAAATGAAATGTACTCCACATAAAAACTTGTACATAAATGTACATAGCAGTATTATTCATAGTAGCCAGAAGTGAAAACCCAAATGTCTATCAGCTGATCACTGGATAAACAAAATATTGTATATCCATTCAATGGACAATTGTTACAATGAACAATGCAATATAAGTGCTGATACATATTACGATATGGCTGAACCTCGAGGACATTATGCTAAGTGAAAGAAGCCACTCTCAAAGGGACAAATACTGTATGATTATATGAAATGTCCAGAATAGACAAACAACAACAAAAATAGATGAGCAGTTACCTAGCATTGGAAGGGGCGTTATGGCTAAGGGTTACAAGGTTTCCTTTTGGGGTGACAAAAATATTCTAAAATTAGGTTGTGGTGGTGGTTAAACAACTGTGAATATACTAAAAACTATTGAATTGTACACTTTAAATAAGTGAATTATATCTAAATAAAGATACAAAAAGAAAGAAAAGAAAATGAGAAGAAACAAAAAGAAGCTGAGTTATAAAAGGCAGAAGTAAGTCTAAGAAGGCTGTGTCTGACAAACTAGTCCTGGCTGAAAAACCAGATGATGGGGCAATTCACATGCCACTGACTAGTCGTGATGATGACCAAGCAGCTCACCAATCCAGATGTAGGGCAGCATTCACTGGCATGACCACCACCCCCACCATCAGACATCCTACTCAAGTGGCTCCCAGTCATCCACCAGGTTTCTGCTCTGGGCTGCCTGAGACCTATCAGCCCTGCCCCAACTCAACCACAGCTTCCACTGGTTCATGATTCTTCTGAAAGGAGCTCAGAAGTGACACCTTAATGACAGAAGGGAGCAGCAGTTGCTGCAGTAGCCAAAGCAGACTCCCCTTTGATGCCTGGCTATCCTGCCAGTTGTCCCCTACTACATCAGAAACCATCAAACTGAGCAACAGGGACAAATCCAAGATCATTCCAAACGTGACCCACCCAGGGATCTCACCTCCAAAATTCTATGATTAGGTGTAAAACAAACCAAAAAACCCCAGTACCTTCATACTCGACTCTCACATTTTAAGAAAAAGAGAAGAAGATCACCGCATTAGGCATACAGTTATGAAGATAAAAATATTTCAGCCACAATCGTTTTTCCATTATAATAAATATCGTGGTTCATGATAGAACTTTACAGCCCAAAGATATGATTAACATGATGATGCTGTTTCAAGTAAGCAGAGAAGACGATTTATTCCCACAAAGCAATATGAGAATAAAAGAGTGATGAGTGCTCTGCAGTTAGCAGAAAAGGGACCCTCATTGTCTTTTGGATGGGAGACCTACTCTTCAGAAGTGAAACTAAGATTTGTTTTAACTGACCAAAAGGAGAGCTTGAGGAACAGATATACGGTACATTCCACCCTCACACCCGGGGGGCGGGGAGGGGGGCAGTGGGGCAGCACACAGTGCCTTTCAGAGGGACAGGTGTTTGGAGGGGCTTCTGGGAACAGCCTGGCAGACGAGGTGTCAGACTAAGGAAAAAAGGGCAAAGGAAAGGGATCCTCGGGCAGGCAGGGGTAGGTATAGAGGAGGAAGAGTTTAGTAGGGAAGGGAGATAAAAAGGAGTATTCATGGTGGCTCAAGTCTGTAATCCCAGCACTTTGGGAGGCCAAGACGGCGGATCACGAGGTCAGACCGAGACCATCCTGGCTAACACGGTGAAACTCCGTCTCTACTAAAAAATACAAAAAACTAGCCGGGCGATGTGGCGGGCACCTGTGGTTCCAGCTACTCAGGAGGCTGAGGCAGGAGAATGGCGTAAACCCGGGAGGCGGAGCTTGCAGTGAGCTGAGATCCGGCCACTGCACTCCAGCCTGGGCGACAGAGCGAGACTCCGTCTTAAAAAAAAAAAAAAAAAAAAAGGAGTATTCACCACTGCTACTCCATTTCAGCTGGCAAAAAGTGTCAAGCCTGAGAGGAGTGAGGTGTGGGAAAGGCCCAGACAGGTGAAGCTGTACTTCCGAAGCTGATCAGGGACTGGCAGCAGGTATTCAGGAATCCAGGTCAAATGGGGGGAAGCGACTGGACATGAACTAAAATTGGGTGAGTTAGATTTCCCAGTACGTGGGTACCAGAGACTGAGAGGAAGCCCTGTGCCTGTGCTGAGAACAGTTAAGAATAGGAAAGAGGGTCCCCTGGAACCAGGATCGGGCAAGACGAAGGTGTGGGATGGGGGAGTCTGGATAGAGACCAGGAAGACTGGGAAAAGACCGCAAGTGGTCCCAGAGCAGGGGCAGGAGGCCTGGGGGTAGAGAAGCTGGAAGGAGTTGGGTGCCTGGACCATGAAGAGACAGAAGCAGTGAGTGGAACAGGGGACCCAGGAGGCAACATCCCAGCAGACTGTGAGCGGCACTCAGGGAGTGAGTGCCTGGTCTTGAGGTGGGGCCAGGGCCTGACCAGTCAGTTGTGGGTTAGGCGCTCCCCCGTCTGGGGGTCTGATGAAGCCCTCCTAAGGAGATCTCAGGAGCAGGAAGACCCCAGGGTCTGCGGATTCCTGGGACTGAGGAAGGGGCGGGAGGGCATGTCTCAGGTCTGAGAGAATCTGACATGGGCCCAGACACGGGGAGGGTCCCGAGTCTGGTGAAACCAATGGAGAGTGCTTCAGGGTCTGAAAAGGGCTGGCGGCAGTCCCTGAGCTAGGGACGACAGGTCATGGGGAGGAAGGACCCAGGCCTTTCCCTAGTCATGAGGGGCTTCCGGATCCCAGACGGGCCGGTCACGGGCTTCAAGTCTGGGAGTGTTCGGGGTCCGCCAGGAGCCGGTCACGACGGGCTCCGGGTCCGAAGGGGCAGGTCAGGGCTGGGGCTCGGAGAGTGTGAGACACAGGCTGGGCAGGTCCCGGGTGGGAAGCGCCGGGTGCAGGAGGCCCCGGCGGCGAGGGCCTGTTCCGCGGCTGCGGGCTCGAGGAGCCGAGGCGGGCACGGCCCGTGAGCGCCGCGAGGAGGCCCTCGGGCCCCGGCCCGGCCCGGCGCTCACCTGCAGCACCACCTCTACGTCGTACGAGTTCCCCTTGCTCTTCTGGTGGCCGCGGAACTTGGAGCCGCTGTAGAGCAGACTGGTGGCCACGCCGGGCTGCTGGGTGTTGATGGGCGGCGGCGGGATGAGTGAGGCCGCGGAGGCAGCCGAGGCACCGGCCGGCGGGGGACACTCGGTGCGGACGGGCATCGCGGGGTCCCCCGGAGCCAGGGCTGGGGGGAGTGGGAGAGGAACCGCCGCCGCCGCGCGGGAGCCGAGGAGGGTGGCGGGGAGGGAGAGGCCGGGGCGCGCACGCGCGGGGTGGGGGCGGGAGGGGCGACCACCCGCCCGCTGCCTGCGGACCAAGCGCTCTGGCCGCCACCGGGACCCAGGGACCTGCGAGCAGGGCCTCCCAGTCCTGAGCTGGGTCCCCCTCCCGACTTGCCCTCGCGCACACATACACACACAGAGACACTCACAGACACACTCACACACGCACACACACACCCCGCCCCTTCCGATTGGCTCGGGCGAGCCTCGGGGGCGGGAGCAGGCTCACGCGGCGCTTCCGCCCATTGGCGGGAGGAGAAAACACGTGGCGGGGTGCGCGAGCGGCCCGCTGGGACTTGTAGTCTCCTCGCCGAGGCGCGGCGTGGAGGGGGCGGGGCGAGGTGCGTTTGTGATGCTGATTGACTGGGGGTGTGCGCAGGAGGTTTGCGAAGGCGACGGCGCGCCGTTGGTGTCATGCGGAAGATGGCGGCGTCCAAGGGAGGCTGAGGGCTTTGAGGAAGCGGTGAGAGGTTTCCGTACAGCCCGAACGTGCGGTTTTGGGGGTCCCTTCGCTCTGTGTTTCCTGCTCCAGGTTTCGCGTCGCGCATCTTCCCAGACCCTCGGGCGCGATGTGGAGGAGCTGCCTCCGGCTGCGGGACGGGGGACGCCGTCTCCTGAATCGGCCTGCGGGTGGTCCCTGCGCTTCTATGAGTCCGGGGCCAACCATCCCGTCTCCAGCCCGGGCTTACGCCCCGCCGACAGGTAAGACTATGACACATTCTCTTTTGGGTAGGGGCCGAGCTGGGGTAAGGTGGGCTTCGGGCTTCGGCTATGCAAAGCGAGGTGACTGAGGCAGGGTTCAGGCTCATGAGGTTATGCAAGCCGGTCAAGTCTTTTTACAGATGAGAAAGTGAAGCTCAGACAAGGGCAGACGACCCGAGAGGGAACAGCGAGTGACGCACGATACAGTAATTGATATTTGGCCTGTGCAGCTTTTCTCAAAGCTTATGGCTGCCCTCCCTAGGAAATAAGGTGTCATCCTTGTTTTCAAAAGGGGAAGTTTGGGCTCTGAATCAGGACTTCGCCTAGGTTACAGACAGACTCTCAGAGATTTGAGGTGTCTGACTGCTTTCCGTGTCTCCACTGCCCAACACAATACCTGCACAGAAGGGACCTAGAACCTGGACCTTCATTCCTCCATCCTGGGCACTTCAGCTGCAGGTTTCCTGACTTTCCCTCCTACCACAACCTCTGCCATCATGCAGCCTTCTCTGCTAAATAGAAATTGACATCTCCACCTTTGACTGTGGAGTCTGTGGAGTCACCTCCACCTCCAACTCTGATGAAGCTCAGAAGTAGTGGCTCTTTCATTGCTGATGGTGAGTGGTGTTAGGGTAAGAGTGAGAATGATTCATTTCAGTGAATGAAAAGCAGTAACACCCTCCCACCATTCAATTAGTTTTATAGTGCTGGAGGCAGGAGACACGGTAGTCTTTAAGACCCACCTGTATGTATTGGTAGAGAAGCTCAGTTAAAGAAGAAAAAGACCCACCTGAATGATGTTCACTGTTGAGTGTAAAAGGTTATAATATCCTGATAAGGGACATACAAAGAAGCTGTGAAAACACGGAGAATCACCTGCTCCCATCTTGGGGGTGTTCAGGGTTTAGAATGGGTCTTGGGTGAAAGGGCATTTAAGCTGAGCCATGATAGATGAGTAGGAGTTCAGCAAGAAGGTGGGAGAGCGTTGGGTATCTAGAACATGTCCAGGGTGACAGCAAGATATGAGGGACTTTTCCCTAACGCGGCCTGCTTTAGAAACTTGAGAACTTCACAGGCAGTTTGGCATTGTGGCAGGAGTGCAAATCTAGGATCTGATACTGGCAAAACCTCTGAGGTCTGTGTGATCTTGGGCATGCAACTACTTCCTCATTTTTCTGCATGAGTTGAAGTACTAGGTTGTCTTTGAGGATCTTTCTGGCTGTCGAGTTCTTTTTTTTTTTCTTTGTCTGTTTCTTTTTTTTTTTTTTTTTGAGATGGAGTCTCACTCTGTCGTGGAGGCTGGAGTGTAGTGGCGCGATCTCGGCTCACTGCAACCTCCGCCTCCCAGGTTCAAGTGATTCTCTGGTCTTAGCCTCCTGAGTAGCTGGTACTACAGGCATCTGCCACCATGCCCAGCTAATTTTTGTATTTTTAGTAGAGATGGGGTTTATGTTGGCCAGACAGGTCTCAAACTCCTGACCTTGTGATCTGCCTGCCTCGGCCTCCCAAAGTGCTGGGATTACAGGCGTGAGCCACTGCACCTGTCCAAGTTCTATAACTTTATAGAAATGGGGAAGGGGGCTGGATGCAGCAGGGAGCTGAAGTTTCACCTGTAGGACTCAGGGGAAGGGCCTGGAAATGGGCCATGAAGGGCCAGTAAAGAAGAGGAAGGAAGGGCATCCCGGGGAGGCATAGCAAAGGGGACACATTCGGGAGTTCACCAAGTTGGCAAAAAGCAAAGGGTTAATTAATTTTTTAATGTGTGTGTATATATATATTTATTTATTTTGAGATGGAATTTTGCACTTGTCACCCAGGCTAGAGTGCAATGGCGCAATCTTGACTCACTGCAACCTCCGCCTCCCAGATTCAAGCAACTCTCCTGCCTCAGCCTCCCAAGTAGCTGGGATTACAGGTGTCTACCACCACACCAGGCTAATTTTGTATTTTTAGTAGAGATGGGGTTTCACCATGTTGGCCAGACTGGTCATGAACTCCTGACCTCAGGTGATCCGCCCGCCTCAGCCTCCCAAACTGCTGGGATTATAGGCATGAGCCACCACGCCCAACCACGAAGGGTTAATTTAGATTAGTGGATGCTCACTTTACATAATGGTGGCACTTGATCTACTGCCTTCTTTTCCTTTCTAAAAAGCCTAAACTTACTAGTTAGGCTCTTGGAATTACCTGGCACATGGTAGGTAGTACCTAAACTTACTAGTTTAGGCTCTTGGAAGTACCTGGCACATGGTAGGCAGTCAAATGTGAAAGAAAATGGGAATGAATGAATGAGGAGGGAGGTGCAGAAATCAGGCCCATGTGTGCTCTTTAAAGACATTACCAGTTGTGAGATACTTGTGCGTGTTTGGAGTAGTAGAAGATTAAACCCCAGTGGGTTCTTCTCAATGAACACTTCAGTCAGCAAGCTGATTGAACTTGGCCACTTAGGAATGGCCATGCCATTGAAGGTTATCAGAGGGAGAGGAGGAGTTTAGGAAAGGGTCACTGAGGTGTTGGAGAAGGAGATATTGCAACAAGAAGACCTCTGTGAGGTTGTTGTGGCAGTTTAGTTCTGCACCAGCTTATCAGAGGTCTGTTGACTCCCAGAGTGGGAGGTATTCTGGAGAAACCTGTCTATTCAGCATATCTCGCTGAATGCGACTGCCGGATGAAGTCAAGACTAGAAGTCTTGTCTCTGCTATTTACCAGTTGTCTGTCACCTAGACAAGACGTTTAGCTTCTCTATCACCTCCGAGGCATTAGCTGCCTTGTCATTCTCATAGAATCGTAGTGTGGATTGAGGGATATTACGTAGTCTGTAGATCAGGGTCCAGCCTGCCACCTGTTTTTGTAAGTAGAGTTTTATTGGAACACAGCCACATGCATTCATTTCCATATCATATATGGCTACTTTCACTACAGTGGCAGAGTTGAATAGTTGGAACAGATATTGTATGGCTTGCAAAACTTAGAATATTTACTATCTGATTCTTTGCAGAAAAATTTTACTAAATGTTGTACATTTGGCCTGAAGGATTTTTTTAAACAGCTTTATTGAGATATTTACTTGCTATACAATTCATTTACTTGAAGTGTAAATATAATAGTTTTTAGTATATTTACAGAATTGTACAGCCATTGCCACAATCAATTTTAGAACATTTTTATCACCCCTAAGAGAAACCTGTACCCTTCAGCTGTCATCCTTACTCCTTCCATCCCTTGGCAACTACTACTTTCCTTTGTTCTTTTATAGATTTCCCTGTTTGGGGTATTTAATAGAAATAGAATATGGTCTTTTTTGACTGATTTTTTCACTTAGCATAATGTTTTAAAGTTTTTTTGTTTGTTTGTTTGTTTTTAAAGAGATTGGGTCTCATTCTGTTGCCCAGGCTGGAGTGTAGTGGTACGATCACAGATCACTGTAACCTCAAACTCCTGGGCTCAAGTGATCCCCTGCCTCAGCCTCCCAAGTAGCTAGGGCTACAGGCACACACCACCATGCCCAGTTAGTTTTTTAGTGTTTTGTAGAGATGGGATCTTGGTCAGGCTGGCCTCAAACTCCTGGCCTCAAGTGATCCTCCTGCTTCGGCCTCCCAGAGTGCTGGGATTACAGGAGTGAGCCACCACACCTAAACGTTTTTAAGTTTTATCCACCTTGTATCATGTATCAATACTCCATTCTTTTTTTTTTTTTTTTGAGTGGAGTCTCGCTCTTTCCCCCAGGCGCTGGAGTGCAGTGCACCGATCTCGGGCTCCTCACTGGCAAGCTCCGCTTCTTGGGTTCACGCCATTCCTCCTGCCTCAGCCTCCTGGGTAGCTGGGGCCCACAGGTGCCGCCACCGCGCCGGCTAATTTTTTATATTTTTAGTAGAGATGGGGTTTCACTGTGTTAGCCAGGATGGTCTCGATCTCCTCCTGACCTTGTGATCCACCCGCCTCGGCCTCCCGAAGTGGCTGGGATTACAGGCATGAGCGCACTGCACCCAGGCCGGCATTCTTCTTTATGGCCAAATGATATTCCATTGTTAATCAGTGTAAATATGCGCAGCATTTCTTATCCATTCGTCATTGTGGCCGCAGGGTTGTTTCTACCTTTGGGCTAATATCGAATAGCACTACTAATGAACATTCAATGAACAAGTTTTGTAGCTTACATTCATGTGCTTGTACTCGCTCTCACTCGTACACAGCTTTTGTGGTGTGGACATGATGTTTGTCATTTCTCTTGGGTATATAACTAAGCAGTACGCACATATCACTTGGGGTTCAACAGGTAACTCTCGCCGTTCTTAACCTTTTGGAGGATCTGGCCAGACTATTATTCCCAAGGTGGGCTGTGCCAATTTCACCCCTCTTACCAGCAGTGTTTGAGCGGGTCAGTTTCCTTCTACTCTCAACAACACTTGTTGTCTTTATTATTATTATACGCTGTCTTAAAGGGTTTGAAGTGGTATCATTCATTGGGTTTTGATTTGCATTTCTCTGATGAAGTTAATGTTGATATTCTTTCACATGCTAAGGCTGTCTTGTACTTTTCTGAAGAAACGTTATTCAGATCCCTTGACCATGGTTTTTTTAAAAGAGGGGCTCTTTGCCTCTGTCACCCAGGCTCTGTACGTCGCATGGCCGCAAGTCCACAGGCCTAGCAGCCTCAACCTCCTGGCTCAAGTGAGCCTCACCACTCAGCCTCCAAAAGTAGCTCGGAAAACTACAGGTATAGTGCCACCATACCCACGACTAATTTTTAATTTTTAAATTTGCTCAGCAGAGCAGGGTCTTGCATGTTGCTCCAGGGCCAGTCTCAAACTCCTGGAATCAAAGCCGATCTTCCCCAGCCTATGTCTCTCCAGACTTGAATTTTTTTTTTTTTGAGAACGAGTCTCGCTCTTGTCCCCCAGGCTGGAGTGCAGTGGCCCGCGCATCTCAGCTCCTGCGAAGCCTCCGCCTCCCGGGTTCCCATTCGGCCCTCAGGCCTCCCCAAATGTGAAGCGCTGGGACTCAGCAGGCGGCCCGCCCACCTCGCCCGGCCTAGTTTTTTGTATTTTTTAGTAGACGAGGACTGGTTTCCACGGTTAACGGCAGGATGGTCTCCGACTCTGACCTCGTGATCCGCCCGTCTCGGCCTCCCAAAGTGCTGGGATTACAGGCTTGAGCCACCGCGCCCGGCCTTGAATATTTTTAAATTGGGTTATTTGTTGTTGTTTTTGAGACAGGGCCTTGGTCTGTTGCCTAGGCTAGTGTTCATGGCTCACTGCAGCCTCAACCTCCCAGGTTCAGGTGATCCTCCCACTTCAGCCTCCTGAGTAGCTGGGACTACAGGCGTGCGCCACCATGCCTGGCTAATTTTTGTATTTTTGTAGAGATGGGGTTTTGCCATGTTGCTCAGACTGGTCTTGAACTCTTGGACTGAAGCGATCCACCTACCTCAGCCAGCCAAAGTGCTGGGATTACAGGAGTGAGCCACCATGCCCAGCCTATTTGTCTTTTTGTTATTGAGTCGTAAGAGTTCTTTATGTATTTGGGCTGAAGAATTTTGATACCTGAAAAGAGTTGGTTAGAGCCGCCCTAGGATTACAGATGGACCTGGAGGTAGAATTTCACCTTTAAGGTTTAAGGCCCACCAGATGGCACTGTTTTAAAAGATAAAGGCGTTGAGACAGCTCTGAAACCAGTACTTCCTCTTCTTGGTGCACTGTGGGAGTTGTGGTTCCTGAGGCTGGTAATCTTTCTAAAGAGAAGGCCAGTTCTGCTTGATCCTACGAAGCTAGGCTGATTTTTTTTCATGTTTAAAGACAGGGTTCCCATTGATGTCTGTTAACCCTGTATTCACTGAGAACATGGGAGCTTCATGGGTTTCTGGTGGTCTCACATTTTGTCTTATGTGACATTGTTGGGGAACATGGATCCCCCAAATGAATTGTCCAGATCGTGTTCGTTCTTTTTTTTTTTTTTTTTTTTTCTGAGACAGAGTCTCTCTCTGTCACCCTGGCTGGAGTGCAGTGGCACAATCTTGGTTCACTACAACCTCCGCCTCCTGGGTTCAACTGATTTTCAGCCTCCTGAGGAGCTGGGATTACAGGCAGGCACCACCATGCCTTGCTAATTTTTTTATTTTTTGTAGAGACAGGATTTCACCATGTTGGCCAGGCTGCTCTCGACCTCCTGGCTTCAAGTGATCTGTCCCCCTCGGCCTCACAAAGTTCTGGGATTACAGGTGTGAGCCACAATGCCTGGCCCCAGATCATGTTCTTGTGTGCCTATGTGGAGCCTTTACTTGGTTCCCTTTGCTGTCTTTGCAGTGATCTACATGTCCGCCAGATGTGGCCCCACTGCCCTCTCTAGCATCTTAGAGAATCTTGCGTTCTCCTTCTGACCATCTGTCTAGTCCACAACTGCTGTCTCGAAGCCTTGGTCCTTCATGCAACCGGTTTCTTCTTCTGGAAACTACTTCCACAGCCCCCTCCACACACACACACACAAAAATGAATCAGTCATAAAGTTTGGTACCTCCTGCCTCACCTTCAAGTTGCAATCTAATTCTGACTAATCATTCCACTTGCCTGCCCCATCACAGAAGTCACCTTATTGTTTACCTGGTTTAGCGGTCTGTATTCCTACTACACAGTAAGTGGCTGGAGGGTGCAGAGATGAGCTTTGCACATGTCCCATTCCCAGGACTTACCATATGTCCTGGAACATGATCAGTACTCACCAAAGCTTGTTCCAAGACACGTTTGCCCCTCCACGTGTCAGTGGGTCATTCAGGAGAGCCCCTGGCTAAAACACATCTATGTGCACCTGCCTTCTAATCTGAGGACTGGCAACCCCTGGGCTCCTTTTGCCCTTCTGCTGTCTCATTTTCTGCATGGTTTTCTTCTGCTTTAAGCAATTTTGGTGGCTCCTTCCCTGCCTTCCGTCCATCCCACTCCCGTCTAGTTTTTTCTTATTCAGTTACAGAAGTGAGCCTGGCCAAGAAAACAGAAAAAAGACTTCCCTCTTGGGAAACCTGGCTGTCCCAGGAGCTTGTGAAGGTACAGCCCTGTGCTGGCAGTTCCTGCCCTGAGTCTGTTCTTCTGGCCCAGGTCTCTTGGGTTCACTTCCCAGACCAGGCCTGGAAGTATGCTAGAGTGCTCACTCTTGTATACTTGTACACTCTTGCTGGCACTTCCTGCTGACGTGGGAAGACCCTTTCCCTAGTGTTGAGTCAGAGCTTTCAGAGCCCTTCCCAACTTCCTGCCTGGCCCGGTTTTATACATGCTGCCCAGCCTGTTGCATTGAAAACATGGAGGGCATGGTCTACCTCACTCCAGACCTGAGAAAGGAAAGGAGGCCTCCAGACCCATGTCTAGCCTGCCATTTGGATATGACCAGGACAGTATGTAAAGAAATTTAAAAGCACTAGGGTGCTGTCAACTTCCAATTTTAGTGTAAAACATACGAGATAATCAGTGTTGTGATTTCAGATGAAGGTGGTAAATCGTGCCATAGAAAGACAGCATCATCTTGGTGGACAGATCTGATCCTAAAAAAAACTTTAAACTCCCTGTCTATTTTATTGACTCTTGTATCCCAAGTACCAAGGCACATGGTAGACACACAAATATTTTTGTGGGAAAAAAATTTGGGCCTTAGTTTAGTAAGTGCAAATGTGGAATGCAATTTTGGGCCCTCTGTCTTTAAGTATTAGTGATAGCAAATGAGATTTATAGAAAACTGATATGATGGGAAAACATAAAAATATTTGGAGTAAAACCAGTTGCCCGCTTCTCCATTACCCTTCCCTCTCCATGCACACATACTAATTTCTCCTGAATTTTCATGGTCTGTTTGAATTAATGAAATTTTAACTTAAGCTTGTTTATTATTGTTGTTGTTGTTGTTGTTTTGTTTGCTTGTTTCAAGAGACGGTCTTGTTCTGTTGCCCAGATTGGAGTGCAGTGGTGACATCACAGCTCACTGCAGCCTCAGCCTCCTGGGCTCAAGCAATCCTCCTGCTTTAACCCCCCTAGTAGCTGGGACTACAGGCATTTGCTGCCATGCCTGGCTAATTTTTTATTTTTGTATTTTTTTATTATTATTTTTTGAGATGGAGTCTTGCTCTGTCACCCAGGCTGGGGTGCAGCGGCACAATCTCAGCTCACTGTAGCCTCTGCCTCCCGGGTTCAAGCGATTCTCCTGCCTCAGCCTCCCGAGTAGCTGGGACTACAGGCATGCGCCACCATACTTGCTAATTTTTGTATTTTTAGTAGAGACAGGGTTTCACCATGTTGGCCAGGCTGGTCTCGAACTCCTGACCTCAGGTGATCCACCTGCCTCTGCCTCCCAAAGTGCTGGGATTACAGCGTGCGCCACTGCACCCAGCCTTATTTTTGTAATTTTTGTAGAGATGGGGTCTCATCATGTTGCCCAGCTTGGGTTTTGAACTCCTGGCCTCAAGCAGTCTTCCCACCTTGGCCTCCCAAAGTGCTAGGATTATAGGCGTGAGCCACTGTGACCAGCCTTTTTTTTTTTTTTTTTTTTTTTAGCATTAAAAGCAAATTATTTGGCTGGGCATGGTGGCTCACGGGTGGGATCACTTGAGGTCAGGAGTTCGAGGCCAGTCTGGCTGGCATGGCAAAACCCTGCCTCTACTAAAAATTCAAAAATTAGCCTGGAGTGTTGGTGCACGCCTATAATCCCAGCTACTCAGGGAACTGAGGCAGGAGAATCGCGTGAACCCAGGAAGCGGAGGTTTCAGTGAGCTGACATTGTACCACTACACTCCAGCCTGGGCAAGAGAGTGAGAAGCCATCTCAAATAAATAAATAAATAAATAAATAAATAAATAAATAAAGCAAATGATTTACTCTTTTTTCCTCCACATGCTGCATCATTATTTCCAATAAATAACTTCAGTTAGGGCCTCCGAAGACTTTGAGAACTCAGTGAACACATGAATGAGTGAACAAACGAATGAATGAATGAAAGTTTTGTGTTTGTCACAGATGTGAGAGACTAAGTTATAGCTTATAGCTTCCAAAATGTGACTTCTTTGTTATCAGTTGAGGGAATCTGCATAATTCCTTAGAAGTACTCTTGATTGTTAATCCCTCCAGGGTAAAAGGAGACTGTTTCATGTAAGATTTTATTCAAGTTAATTTCAAAAGAAAACACAGGACACAGATTTTCCCTTTCTTGAAGGAAATGTTTGGAGTTCCTGTTGGATACATAAGCAAGCTGGTTAATTAGGTTAATTAATTGGAGAGAGGGGATGGGAAATGCCCTTGGGAGCTCTGCATCCTGCCTATGTACCTCACACGCACACCCTGCGCAGGCACACTGGCTTTCCACTCACTCCTTAGAGGCATCAGGGTCTTGGCTGAAATGAGTCTCTAGCTTTGTCCCACTCAGACACCGACTTTAGGTTTGTGCTGGCATGGGGTGGCACTGGTGGTGGGGAGGGTGGGAAAGCATGCCGAGATGCTCCTGATCAGACTTGTCCCCAGGCTGGGGGGTTGGCAGAGGCATGACCAGCATGTCCTGTTCCTCCCTCCTCCCTGGAGATCGGATGCTCCCTTCCCCCAGCTTTAATCAGAAGCAGTTGATTATACCATGTTGAGTAGGGCAGACCTTGAATGGGGATATGAAAATCAAGCCAATCAATCAACATTAGCAGTAATGATACAAGCTGGTCCTGTCACTTCCTGAGTTGTCTCAACGTTATTTTAAACTGCCTCTTTGAAAAATCTTTCTTACAGAAAGGAAGAGGTTTTATCAGAATGTCAGCATCACACAGGGTGAAGGTGAGTGTCTGAAATTTTGACTGCCTCTTTTTTTTTTTTTTTTTTTGTGAATGGTCGGGAACATTTTTCATCTTCAGCTGGTTCCGTGGTGAGATTATCCTTCCTGCTTTTGTCAGATATATTTCTGTAAGGGACTCAGAGTTGGCTTTGTCTGCACCAATTCAAGTGGCTAAATATAGGAATGGTCACTTGATTCCACTTAACAAATCCCTGAGAGTTTTTCATTTGATCTTTCAAGGTGGCTTTGAGATAAACCTGGACCAGAGGAAGCTGAAAACTCCCCAAGCCAAGCTCTTTACTGTCCCCAGTGAGGCCCTGGCCATTGCAGTGGCCACTGAATGGGATTCCCAGCAGGATACCATCAAGTACTACACCATGCACCTGGTAACAAGTTCACAGTGCGAATCTGGACCCTGAGACCCACCCAGGGCTTCCTAGGGTAGATCCCTTACCAAATTCTGACAAGGCCCTGGGGGATGGTCCTTTGCCTACCTGGGCCCCAGGTGTTCACCTCCTCTCGAGTCACTAATGTGCTAAACTCTTTCCTTGTCTGGCCTGGCTACTTGCAGTTCTCTCTCCTAGGAACACTGTGCTGGATGACTGGTTTCTCCTTTGGTTTCAGGACAGATGTCACCTTCACTGACTCCCCAGCTCTCTTATTTTCTATGACAGCAGCTGGCCATTTGTTTTGTCAGCACTTAGACAATTTATAATTGTTTTATGTTTCCACATTTATTGTCTGTCTGTCTCTACTGCCTGGTAAGCAACAGAAAGGCAGGAGCCATGTCTGTTTTACTCATCAGTATCTGGACAGCCACTAGCAGGTAGTTTAGTTGGTACTTAATAAATATTAGTTGACTATAAGATCCACTGGAGGCAGATAGGTGAGGTGAGGAAGACTCCCTATAGAACCAGAGCCCCTCGTCCACACCAAAGTGGCTCATCTAGGCACCAAGGCTGCCTGGGGAAGGAAGGGCCCAGCCAGACTCTTTGGTCCAGCCTCTGCAGCTTCTAGACTGTAACCTTGGGCAGGTTGCTGCCCCTTTCACAGCCCCGTATTCCCCATCTCCTAAAGATGAGTGATAACAGTACCCACCTCACAGAGCCATGGTCAGGATGAGATGAGATGATGCAAGAAAGCCCTTGGCATGGTCCCCAGCACTGATTGGGCACTGAGTCAGTGTAGGAGTCAGCTGCTGTCATCCCAGCCGCTGCTGTGCTCAACCTTTGCAAACTCACATGGGCCTCCTGCCAACATCACAGCCTGCTGAGGTGCTGGCCTAATCCTTGACAACCTAGTGAAATTGGAGTGATTGGGGCTACAAACGAATAGGGTAACCTAAGCAGCCTGTTATTGACAAGGTAAGTCTGGAAAAAAATAATCTTTTTTTTTTTTTTTTTTTTAAACAGAGTCTCGCTCTGTTGCCCAGGCTGGAGTGCAATGGCGCAATCCCAGCTCACTGCAACCTCCGCCTCCTGGATTCAAGCGATTCTCCCGTCTCAGCCTCCCAAGTAGCTGCGATTACAGGCACCCACCACCATGCCTGGCTAATTTTTGTATTTTTAATAGAAATGGGTTTCACCATGTTGGCCAGGCTGGTCTTGAACTCCTGACCTCAGGTGATCTACCCATCTCAGCCTCCCAAAGTGTTGGGATTACAGGCATGAGCCACCACACTTGGCCAAAACAAATAATCTTAATCCTGATTTGCATGGTCTGTTTCCCTGCTTTCTAAGGTGTAAGGGAGGCAGCTGGTAAAGGTTTCCAGTCAGATTTGAGCTCCATCACTGATACGTGTCTTATTAACTGTATTTGATGATGTACTTAACCTAACCTGTCTAGGCTTCAATTTTCACATCCCAGATGGGCATAGTAATAGTACCTATTCCAAAGGGTTGTTGTGAGGATTAAATACACTAGAACCTGGTAATAATGTGACTGTGGGGAGGTTCACTAATCATGGGGCTGCTGCAAGACTTCCCTCAAGTCCTGTGAGCATCGACAGAAAGCATTTGGCATGGAGCCTGGCTGTGGCACGCTCTCAGTAGCTGTGCTGCTGCTCCGGTAGTGCAGATGCCTCTGGTGGAGGGCTGTGCTGTGGTGCTATCTGCTATGTGTCAGATGAGGTGTCCTCAGGAAAGCAGGGCTTTTGTCTGAGCCCCACAGGCAGTGACAGGGTGGTTTTTGCCTTTGATTCAGACCACATTGTGCAACACATCCTTGGACAACCCAACCCAGAGAAACAAGGATCAGCTGATCCGGGCAGCCGTGAAGTTTCTGGACACTGACACCATCTGGTAATGGACATTTAGATGGGCATTCCCCTTGGATTGAGACAGTCCCTGGGGCTATTTTTCCTGATTTGTCCAGATGGTTATCAGTGGAAGAAGAAACCCTCTCCATTTATTGCAAGGACAGGGAAGGTGGCCCACTTGACTTTGGCATTTGGCTGCTCTGTAGCCCCTTAGGAGGAGGACTGCTCAGGCTACAATGGTGTTAGAACATGGCCACCCCTCTTCTGTAGCCTAGAAGCTGCTCCTTAGGCTGGGAGGGTGGTTATGCAGCTCTTGCAGGTGCCGTGACCACAGGCCCCTTAGGCCTGGGGGCGCCTGTGACCTTAAACTTCTGCCCACTGACACTTTCTCAGGTAGACATCCTTGGCACTATGGATGCTGATAAGTAGTAGTGTCCTTCTCCAGTTCTGAATTCTCCTCTGTGTCTATATATCTTGGCTAATTGGTCAGTGTTGCCAAAGGAAAGTTGAGAAACAATGGAAATGATTGAGCAGCACGGTGCCTGCTAGCCCAAGTGCTCTAGGATCCTGAGTCATCTCACGATGACACAGGAAGTCAGCACTGATGACTGGAGGCATGCTTTCGAAGGGGGTGGCCCATAGCTAGTGGGAAAGCCCACTCCATTTATATTAGGTTCACTTGACTTCAGGGAGCAGAAATCCATTCAATCTAGCTCAGACAAAAAGAGGATTCTTGAAAACTATACAGGGATCCTGACAGGAAATGAAGGACGATCGGGCCACCAGGAAAGGGAGCTGTAAGATCTAATGTCAGAGCTCCTCCCTGTGCCCTACTGGGGTGAGCAGAAGGTGAGGGAGGAAAGGTTGGCTGCCCATCTGCCCCTCCCAGCATAACTCATGACCTCTCTTCCCCACGTTGCTTACACAAGACGGTGGATTTCCATAATGCCCACTTGGGTTCCCATCCCATAAAACCCTGCAGCTCAGCTCCTCTCAGCTGACTCATGCCTGTGTCTCTTGGTCAAACAAATGGCACAGCCTGGCCTCTAGCTTGGTCCCATCAGGTCTGGCATCTGTGCCAGCAGCTGCATCTGTAGCCAGGAGGTGGATGGGCTTGTGAGGTGTAAACAGGCTATTTTGGTCTGTGACCAGGGGCACAGTCTCTTGGAGGGGGTGAGGGTAGAGATGCAAAGACTGAGCATCTGGCACAGCATTCCCGTTCAGCATCCAGGTCAAGCGGGTGTGGACCCAGGGTTGCAGTTAGTAGATTGGATCTGCTTTAGAATGACAGTAACATAGCGCAGCAAGCTTGGACCTGTCAAATATTTGGGGGCATTTAGGGTAGTGGTTCTCAAACTCAGGCTTACATTAGAATCCCCTAGAGGGCTTGTTAAAACAGATTGCTGGGCCCCACCTCCAGAAGTTCTGATTCTTTAGGGATGCAGCCTGAGAATGTGCATTTCTAATAAGTTCCCAGGTGATGGTGGTGCCAGGGCCACACTTTGAGAACCACTGCTTTAGGGGAAAAGACTTGTGGGACTGGGATGGTGGTGGTGAAATTTTTGTTGTTGTCCTTTGTGTTTTTCCTTTTCTGTCACTGAATGAAGGAATTGTACTTTTTTATTAATGAAGGTGATTTTTACAATGAATTAGCTACAGGGTGGAGGAGCCTGAGACATTAGTGGAACTTCAAAGGAATGAGTGGGATCCAATCATCGAATGGGCTGAGAAAAGGTAAGATGTACAGCCCTGCAGAAAGCACTGACTGGGCACCTGCGTTGGTGGAGTGTTGGGGTCAGGGGACCACGCTGGAAAACTAGTGCCCTTAGCTAGTCAGCTTTCTGATTTCAGAGCACTCATGGGATTCGGCTTCCCTCATATGATCAGGGATATGGTCATCTTGGGAAAAAAGCACCCATTTCAGCCACTAGGTACAGCACACCTGCTATAGCAGTTCATGAAATATAAGGGCAGCTCTGTGTCCTTGGAGAAGCAGTGGAGTCCCCAGGCCACCTTCTGCCAGCGGGTCAGAGCAGCAGTGTCGGTTTGAATCCCAGCCCTGCTAGAGACTCAGTTGTGTGACTTGGCTAATGAGTTGATCTCTCTGAGCTTCAATTTCCTTGTCCATAAATGGGGCTAATAATCCCTACCTCTCAGGGTTTGAGGAGGAGTAAATGAACTGATGCATGTAAAGGCTTAGCATCCTGCTTAGCACACAGTAAATGTTCAAATTTTAGCAGTGATTTTCATCTCTGTCACAATTGCTGTACTATTAAATCAAATAACAGAACAACACCTATGATATGTACGCACTTGGAGAAAAGTCTGGATAGCTTCCTGCAAATTACAGGTAACATCCAATGGATATGTAGCTTCCAGGAATTGATACGAAATATTTTTCCTTAATAGGAAGACTCGAGTGCAAAGTTGAATGGATTATTGATGTGGTGGCAAAATAAATTCAATTTCATTTGATCCCAAGGGAAATTTGGAAGGGCTGGCTTTCATGGTAGTACCTTGACCATGGTATTTTCTAAGCTTGCAAGGCGTATTTCTTGATATAGCATTTTTCACAAAAGTGATGTTACCAATCAGTTTACTGATTTGCCACATGCTGCCCGATGCTCACAATGTGGCAGGTGTCCTTGGGTCTTAAAGGAAAAGGCAAAGGCAGTGCTCTAAAGACCAGACTACAATACTGTGTGGGAATGCAACAATACAGTGTCATTTCAGAATCTAATGAAATATAATAATTTAGGTGCCTAGAGATCTTTGCTATAGTATAAAATCATCAGATTCTTGTGGCAGGAAATACCCTATCCTTAAGAGTTTACAGAAAAACTTAGCCATTTCCTACAGTCCATTTGTACTATTAGGAATTTCAGCAAGGATTTTTTTTTCTTTCTTGATACGGAGTCTCGCTCTGTCACCCAGGCTGGAGTACAGTGGTGCGATCGTGGCTCACTGCAACCTCCACCTCTTGGGTTTAAGTGATTCTGGTGCCTCAGCCTCTCGAGTAGCTGTGATTACAGGTGCCCACTACACCCAGCTAATTTTTGTGTTTTTAGTAGAGATGGAGTTTCACTGTGTTGGCCAGGCTGGTCTCGAACTCCTGACCTCAAGTGATCGCCCACCTCAGTCTCATGAAGTGCTGGGATTACAGGCGTGAGCCACTGCACCCAGCCGGACTTTTTTTTTTTTTTTTTTTGAGTATGGAATCTCGCTTTGTCGCCCAAGGCTGTGGGAGTGCAGTGGCAACGATCTCAGCGCTCACTGCAAGCTCCGCCTCCCAGGTTTTACGCCATTCTCCTGCTTCAGCCTCCTGAGTAGCTGGGACTACAGGCGTGCCACTCATGCCGGTAATTTTTTTTGTATTTTTAGTAGAGACAGGTTTCACTGTGTTAGCCAGGATGGTCTTGATCTCCTGACCTCATGATCCACCCACCTTGGCCTCCCAAAGTGCTGGGTATTACAGGCGTGAGCCACTGCCCCGGCCCCAGCCAATTTTTTTTTAAGCAACAGAAAAATCTGGTGATACATGGAAAAATTATTACAAAAATTATTTATGCCCCCCTGTGTTTCTGGTTTTATTTAGTTTATGATTATTCTTGAAATGTATTCTTCATTGGCCAGCGCAGTGCATCACGCCTGTAATCCCAGACTTTGAAAGGCGAGGCGGGCGAGCAAGTACAGCCGGGCCTACCGCGAACCCCGTCGGTACGAAAAAACAGAAAAATGAGCCAGGCAGGAGGGGGGCGCGGGTCCCAGCTACGCAGGAGGCGGAGGCAGGATGAACCGGGGAGGCAGAGCTGGGCGGAAGCCAAGATACGCCACGGACGCAGCTGGGAGCGACAGATCGAGACGCCTCTCAAAAAAAAAAAAAAGGGATCGGTCGTGAAGCCAGCACAGGTCACAGTAGACCACAGACCAACAAGCCGGATTGAAGGGAGGTGATGAAGGGGAAAAAAGAGACGGGCGGGGTGGCCGCACGCCGGTAACCAGCACTTTGGGAGACTGAGGCAGGCGGATCACTTGAGTTCAGGAGTTTGAGACCAGCCTGGCCAACAAGCTGAAACCTCATCTCTACTAAAAATACAAAAATTAGTCAGGCGTGATGGCAGGCGCCTATAATCCCAGCTACTCAGGAGGCTGAAGCAGGAGAATGACTTGAACCTGGGAGGCGGAGGTCGCAGTGAGCCGAGATCGCGCCACTGCTCTCCAGCCTGGGGGAGAGAGCAAGAAAGACTTCATCTCAAAACAAAAAAAAAAAGTTTGAAAAAATGACTGCTGACTGGTCATGGTGGCTCATGGCTGTAATCCCAACACTTTGGGAGGCCAAAGTGGGCAGATTGCTTGAGTCCAGGCGTTTGAGACCAGCTCGAGCAACATGGTGAAACTCTGTCTCTACAAAAAATTAGCTAGGTGTGGTGGCACATGCCTGTAGTCCCAGCTACTTGGGAGACTGAGATGGGAGGATCGCTTGAGCCTGAGAGGTTGAGACTGCAGTGAGTCAAGATCATGCCAGCACACTCCAGCCTGGGTGACAGAGCGAGACCGTGTTTCAATAAAAAAGAAGAAAACCTCCATGATCTATGACATATATAAACATTATTTTAAGGAAAACCATTTTAAGTATTGTTTTTAACTTTTATATGGCCTCAAATGTGAAAAACTTTTTAAAGAGATGTAAAAGGCACATGGCCTTTTGATGGAGATTCCAGGTGAATGAATGAACATTTCAAGCAGCTGCATATAACTGAGCCCCAGCTCACATGACTCAGGAACTGTCCCTTCATTCAGCACAGTTTCTTGGTCCTCTAAGTTTGCTCTTGAGGGACAGAAAATCAGATCGGAGCCAGGGGCAGTTTCTCACGCCTGTAATCCCAGCACTTTGGGAGGCCAAGGCGGGTGGATCACCAGGTCAAGAGATCGAGACCATACTGGCCAACATGGTGAAACCCTGTCTCTACTAAAAATACAATAAATTAGCCGGGTGTGGTGGTGGGCGCCTGTAGTCCCAGCTACTCGGAGGTTGAGGCAGGAGAATGGCGTGAACCCGGGAGGTGGAGCTGGCAGTGAGCCGAGATCGCGCCACTGCACTCTAACCTGGGCGACAGAGTGAGACTCTGTCTCAAAGGAAAAAAAAGAAAATCAGGTCAGGAGGCCACTGACCATGGTGGCAGTTGCTCCTGGAGGCCTCAAGACTAGCTCCTTGGCCAATGCACACACACGCTCTGAAGCTTAGGCCTTTGTTTTTAGTCAAAAGGTGGGCTGCTCTTGAGCTACAGCATGACAGAGACACGCCGAAGCCCTTTTCCTTTCAGATACGGCGTGGAGATCAACTCCTCCACCAGCATAATGGGACCCAGCATCCCCGCCAAGACTCGGGAGGTGCTCGTCAGCCACCTGGCATCTTACAACACGTGGGCTTTACAAGGTATGTATAGAGTTTCCTGTGGGCTTGGCAGGTGGCTGTGAAGGCCATCAGTATCTGAAGCCTGTGCTTGCCCCTCCTCAGGTGCTGTGAGTAGAGAGGCACAGGGGCGTTCTGGGCTAGCTGAGTGTGGAGGCTGGCTGGCTCTGATGCTAGCCCATCACTCGGTGCTCTAGGCTCACACTTTTCCACCTTTGACTCTCCAGCGGAAGTCTCGAGTTCAATCTCATTGCCCTGGCTTGGGTCCTATGTCCATCCATGAACCAATCACTAGACTGGTGGGGGAAGCTCTGATTTGCCAAGTTCGGGTCATGTGTCTCACTGGGTAAGAGCAGAGGAGGATGGGAAAGCCAGAGTGCTCTTTCAGAAGAGTGAGACAATCGCTGGATGGCTCTTTGCACCACTCGCTTCTGTTCTCTGCTAGGGCTGCTGGGACTCACAAGGGGTAGGTTGTGGCAGCTGCCCTGTTTTGGATCCTGACTTGGCTTGTGTCCCTGCAGGGATTGAGTTTGTAGCTGCCCAGCTCAAGTCCCTGGTGCTGACCTTGGGCCTGACTGACCTGCACCTGACAGTGGAGCAGGCTGTGCTGCTGTCACGCCTGGAGGAGGAGTACCAGGTGAGGAGCAGCACCTCAGGTCCCGTCTTCCCCTTCCTAGTTCAGACTCGCTTTGGGGGAACAGCTAACCCATCTGAAATACAGTTATGCATAGTTGGCTTTCATTACTTTTGTGTACATGCAGAAATCAAAATCAAGGACCAGCAGAAGTATTGTCAAGTAGGCCTGACGTGGTGGTTCACACCTGTATCCTAGCACTTTGGGTGGCCGAGGAGGGTGGATCATTTGAGGTCAGGAGTTTGAGACCAGCTTGGGCAACGTGGCAAAACCCCATCTCTACAAAAATACAAAAATTTAGCGCCTGTAGTCCCAGCTACTTGGGAAGCTGACGTGGGAGGATTGCTTAAACCTGGGAGGTGGAGGTTGCAGTGAGCCAAGATTGTGCCACTGCATTCTAGTCTGGGTGACAAAGTGAGACCCTGTCTCAAAAAAAAAAAGTATTGTAAGATAATAACATTTAAAAAATAACAGTAAGTGCTACCACTGTGTTCCTGTACTATATCCATCTCACCTCCTCTCAGCAGCCTGGGCAGGTAGGAGCTGTGGTTATCTCTGTTTTACACAGGAGGAAACTGAGGTGCAAGGTTGCACCTCTGGAAAATGTGCCAGCTAGGGCTTGAAGCCAGGTCTGGTGATTTTAGGCCAAGACTGTCAGGCCTCACTCTGCACAAGGAGGTTCACGGGTGGATAAAGACCATCTGGGCTTGATAAAGCCTGCAGAACAGGCCCTGCCAAGATGACTGAGAACCCGTTTGTGCTCCTACATCAGCTAAGCCTTCATACCCTGACATTTTATCTGGCTGGCAGAGGAGCATAGGGGTAGCTGCTGTTTGTACACAAGTTTTGATTTAGTGGGCTCAGAATTAAGGTTTTGCTACAGTATGGTTTGCATTTTTTAACTCTGAAAATTATGGCCATCTTTGCAGTTATTCCACCAACCTCAGAAGGTTAATTGCTATTATGAATTGGTCCCTAGTATGGTAAAAAAACAAACAAAAAAAAGCTTTTTGTGATGTATTTCCCTAGTTCTTATAGTCTTCTGCTCAGAAAAATGCCAGGGAAAAAAACTATTTTTGTATAACAAAGTAGGCCTGCTACTATTCTCTGGATGTCAGAACCGATTACATAGGAAGGGGGTGACTTGTAGGGCTGGTGGGAAGCCAGTCTGGGCACTGCTTCTGACTATGGGACCCAAGCCAGGCCATCATTCTCTGAACTTTGGTTTCGATCCTCTACAAACAGAGGAATAACCTGAATCATGTATGTGATGGTATACAATGAAAGTATGGAATACTCTTCAGATGACTTATTACAATTGTACAGTTTGGGACCAGGCAGCCCAGAAGTTCAAATAGCTTGTGTAGCATGGCAGATTCTGAGTTCCTGGATGAGCTGGGGCGGCCAGGCCAGGCCTCTTGGGCAACTAGCCAGGGAGGAGCCAGCAGGGTCTGGTTGGAGTTACACTGTCTGGACAGCCACACCGTGTGTCTGAGGGTTCCTCCCTCTTGTTTTTAGAGCTCCAGACAGAGAATCTGCAACGTGTCCCCAGTGTGCAGAGCAGAGGCATCTGTAGTTCTGTGACTACCACAAGAGTTAGAGTTGAAGCCACTGCATGGCCTTGCTTGATTTAGTTATTCCACCCACATGGGGCTCGGGGTGCACTTGTAGCCCAGCATGGCAAGGCAACTTGCAGAGGCTGTCCGTTCACAGGCTTCCCGGGAGGAAGTGTAGGAGAAGGGATGGCACATAAGTCAGGCCTCCTCAAAGAAGTCACATGGGTGGTTCTGGTACCCAGCTTGCTCAGTGGTGGGTGGGCAGCTACTGGCCCTGGGCCTGGACTGTACTTCTTCTAGACCATCCATGCCACAGAAAGCACAGGTGCCTGCTCTGGCTCCCTGAGTGGTTGTGTGTGTGTGTATGTGTGTGTGTGTGTGGTGCTCTTGAGACAGGGTGTTGCTGTGTTGCCCAGGTTGGAGTGCAGCGGTATGATCTTGGCTCACTGCAGCCTCAACCTCCTGGGCTCAAAGCAGTCCTCCTACCTCAACCTCTCAAGTAGCTGGGACTATAGGTGCACCCCCACCACACCCAGCTAATTTTTAAAACTTTTTGTAGAGATAAGGTTTCACCATATTTGCCCAGGCTGATCTTGAACTCCTGGGTTCAAGCAGTCTTCCTGCCTTGGCCTCCCAGAGTGCTGGGATTACAGGCGTGAGCCACTGTGCCTGGCCCACCTGAGTGTTGTTACCTGCTGCCTCCCTCTAGACATGTCTTGTGTTTTGGCAAGATCCAAACCTGTTGCCCTCAGCCGAGCTATTGGAATGGAATGTGGTTTTGGCCAGGAGGCAGCCAGGCACTGGCCACTCACCCAGCAACTTGTCTTGTCCGTCCCTCAGATCCAGAAGTGGGGCAACATTGAGTGGGCCCATGACTACGAGCTGCAGGAGCTGCGGGCCCGCACCGCTGCCGGCACCCTCTTCATCCATCTCTGCTCCGAGAGCACCACAGTCAAGCACAAGCTCCTGAACGAGTGAGGCCTGGGCAGCACACACTCAGCAGGATAGAGGCAGCGCAGCCACAGCTCCCCCAACCTTCAGGGCTCCTCAGCCTGTGGGGCTGACTTCCTTGACTTTTGGGGCCTCGGCCTCAGCATCACCCTGAGATTTCCCCGAAACACAGTGCGCTAGTGCGACTGTCCGGAGGTCAGCCTGATTTCAAACCAGGTGCCCCTGGCCTGGTCAGCAATGAATGTGGGAGATGAATTGTACAACTAACTTTCTCTCAACCCTGATTTTATTAAATATTTCTCCACCCTGGAAATGTGCTGAGCCCTGTTTTCACGTACACTTCTGCACTTCTCCATTCTTCCTGTTTTGTCTAGGTTCCAGAGGGTTAAACAGCTTATCTCCCATGGCATGTTTGGATATCTGCTGCCTGTGGTTCTGGAACCTTGTGCTGGGGAAACAGTCATGTTATCCACAGACAATTCTATTTGTGTTCTTCAGCCTCAACTTGAAGGCTTTTTTTGGCTGGCTTTTAATCAATCTTTTGAAATGATCGTGGTTTAAGCTGGTTGTTTCTATTTGTTCCTACTGTTCTAAAACAAGTGATTTACTCTAGAAAGTAGAAAATGGACAGGCTTGGCGAGGTCACTTGATGTGCATGTTTCCGCTCATCTCCCACCCAGGAGTCCCAGGGGTCCTCCCGACATAGCCACCTCTAATGTCCCAGGAGGCAGGTGCTGCTGTCTGGTGTCAGGCCAGTAAGAGGGCAGTGGGGATCCCGAGTGTGGTTCTTAGGCAGACGGGCTCTCTCAGTCCTGTGTCCTTGCCAGCCTGAGTAAGGTAATGGCATCGACCCTGTTCACAGGGCACTGATCACATGCTGGGTGCCTCTCCATGCTTCCCACGCACTGTCTCCCTGAACTGTTCCTCGAAGGCACTGTGAGGTACTATCACAGATGACACCAGGGCTGCGGGGGTGTGGTGGAGCTGGGATGCCCCGCCTGTGCTCTGCTCTTCTGGAGGGTCCTCAGGTCCCTGTGACTAACCTCAGCCTTGGTGGGCAGGCCCAGGCCCCTACACTGTGGTGGGAGCTGCAGCCTCTCCTGCATTGCTGCCCCTCAGCACCCAGAGCAGAGAAGGTCTCAGCCCACACCGGCCTCCTTTTGCCTGTGGCCGGCAGCCTGCCTAGGCATGGCAGGGGAAACGGCAGGGGCACGTGTCTGACTTTATGCCACAGCCAAGAGTCTAGCTGATGGCAGTGCCCTTGGGAGTCACTCTGTCAGCTGGCCTGGGACCGGCTGTTCATCTCAAACTCTTTCTCCTGTTCCTACATGAACATGAATTCTGATTTTTTTGTTTTTTGTTTTTGTTTTTATTTTTGTTTTTTTTTTGAGACGGAGTCTTGCTCTGTCACCCAGGCTGGAGTGCAGTGGCCGGATCTCAGCTCACTGCAAGCTCCGCCTCCCGGGTTCACGGCATTCTCCTGCCTCAGCCTCCCGAGTAGCTGGGACTACAGGTGCCTGCCACCACGCCCGGCTAGTTTTTTGTATTTTTAGTAGAGACGGGGTTTCACCGTGTTAGCCAGGATGGTCTCGATCTCCTGACCTTGTGATCCGCCCGTCTCGGCCTCCCAAAGTGCTGGGATTACAGGCTTGAGCCACCGCGCCCGGCCTTTTTTTTTTTTTTTTCTTTTTTTTGAGACAAAGTCTCGCTCTGCTGTCCAGGCTGGAGTGCAGTGGTGCAATCTTGGCTCACTGAAACCTCCACCTCCCAGGTTCAAGCGATTGTCCTGTCTCAGCCTCCTGAGTAGCTGGGATTACAGGCACACGCTACCATGTCCGGCTAATTTTTGTATTTTTAGTAGAGACGAGGTTTCATCATGTTGGTCAGGCTGGTCTTGAACTCCTGACCTCGTGATCTGCATGCCTCGGCCTCCCAAAGTGCTGGGATTACAGGCGTGAGCCACAGTGCCCAGCTGATTTTTTTTTTTTTAATGAATAGGGGAAATGTGACATGAGTCCTTTATTTTCTCTACTTTTGGAAGTTTTTCCAGGGGTGGGGCAAGAATGGTGTGGGGGATCGTAGTTGAGAGATGCCCAGCAACTCTCCCGAGGTGCTCGGTGAGGCATGTGCACTTCCTTCTCTTGGTTAGGGCTGGTGCTATGTTTTGAAGAAGCTCCTGTGGCTGACACTCATCTAGTCTAGGATGTCGCTATATTCCAGGTTGTCCAGTTCGCTCTGCATGTGGTCGATGTACTGATTGATCTCCTTCACGCGCTTGCGGTTCCTCATGATCTCATCCTTGTGAATCTGAGGAGTTTAATCAATCTTTTGAAATGATCGTGGTTTAAGATTGGTTAATATCTTTCACTGAGTCCAGTTTGAGGGAAGGGGAAAATAGTTTCTTGAGATCTGCAAACCTCCGCATTTGCTTCGGCGCCTCCCCAGGTTCTGCTCATCTCTGTGTATTTGAAGTAGGAGTTAGGAAAATGATGAAGCCCATGGGTTTTGTGTGTGTGTGTTTTTTTTTTTTTTTTTTTTGAGATGGAGTCTTACTTTGTCACCCAGGCTGGAGTGCAGTGGCACGACCTTGGCTCACTGCAAGCTCCACCTCCTAGGTTCACGCCATTCTCCTGCCTCAGCCTCCCGAGTAGCTGGGACTATAGGTGCCCGCCACCACGCCCAGCTAATTTTTTGTATTTTTAGTAGAGACGGGTTTCACTGTGTTAGCCAGGATGTTCTTGATCTCCTGACCTCGTGATCTGCCTGCCTCGGCCTCCCAAAGTGCTGGGATTACAGGCGTGAGCCACCGCGCCTGGCCGAAGCCCATGGGTTTTAAAGTCTCTGGGCAACCTTGTCTTCAGTGTGGAGTTCTATAATCCTTAATTTTATTTCTTCTTTCATTTCATTCCTAAATGAGAATTCTATCCACTACCTAGGGAGGATTTCCATGTCAGCTAGAAAAATTTGTCCAACCTGCTAGGGTGGCTTGGCAGTGACTCACCTTGTCTACTAAACGTGTACACCAGGAGTTGATTCTGGTCACCAGCTCATCTTCTCGATTGTCAATCTTCAGAAGGTGGATGTCGTGCGATGCCCCGACAGCATTAACAATCGTATCTTTATCGACAAAAAGCTGGTGAGTGAAAAGAATCCAATGAGAACGTGTGTGTCATTACACCCTGAACACAAAGAGAGCTGAATAGAAAAGGAGCATTTGGAAGTCCCCTGGCTGTGCAGGCCACACTCAGAGCAGAGCTCACCTTTCTATCAGCGCACTCTGCCAATTCATCTGTGAATTCATCTGTGACAGCTGCCTCCCCAACCGCGCAGGGCAGGTGTTGAGGGGGAAAGGGCCAACTAGGGTGTTACTTTGCAGTCCCCGCTGGAAGCATGTTTCCTCCAGGGTGAAGGCAGATGGCTGCCCAGGGGGCACCTCACCCAGGACATCTGTTCTCACAATGCTTCTCTCTCAGTTACTCTCAAGTCTGACTTGCCCAAAACCTCTGCCTGCTGGGTGGAAGCATGAGACTGGCTGAGGGTCTTGGGGCTGCTCTGAAGACAGCAGGCCCTATAAACTGATGGGTGTTCACCCCACAGTTGTCTCTCCACTGCCACTCATGTCAACAAAACCAAACCATGGATTCCATCTGGGGTCTCCTTCTGCCTTCTCTTGTTCCTGACTTTGCTGTCTTGTAAAAAGTTGTTAGAAACAACCACCCTCTAATAGGCCTCACTGGTTCCAGGTGTTGACACTGTGGCTGTCGTTGCCTGGGATGGTGGAAATGCCCAGAGCAGGGCAAGGCCACCGAAGCACTCAGTAAGCAGTTGCTTCCACCTTGAAGCAGAGGCGTTTGGTGAGGAAGAGCACGTGAATACTCTGGATTGCAGGGAGGACTTGCAAGTGGAGTGTACACTTTTTATTCTTTCCTGTAGTGGCAGTTAACGGTCTCTAAAACATGTTCTGTGGAATCTTACGTTAATATTTCTACCAAAAAAAGTATTCTTTGGTCAAACACATTTGGGAAAGCCAGCACCCCCAGGCCCCTCCTGAAGATTTGCAGAGCACAAAGTATTCCAGAGGCTCTACAAAGTCCTGTGGAAAATAAACCCTTTAAGCTTTGTCTTTCTTGGTTTTTCAACTTTTTTGGCCACAGACTTCAGAGTAATGCCTGTTAATGTCTTGTGGGATGCTGATTTTCCACAGAATCCCAGTGGGAAAAGCCAGGTTAGCTGATATGTGGAATGGGGTGTCTGGGGGACCAATTAGCACAGTCACAAGGGAGAAATGTCAAGAAATCATTAAGTTCTTTCCATGTGTGTACAAGGTCCCAGGCCAGGCTCTGGGAATGGTTCAAAGGTGTGTAAAGCCTGTTTTCGGTGAGTGTTGGCAGTGTGCTTAGAAATGAGTGTTCTGGTTATTTTAGAGATAACTACAACCACAGTGTCAACCCATCACGAAAAGGTTTTCATCCTTCATCCTAAAAAGTGGGTCATAGTGGAGCTTTTAGCCAGGCAGAGAAATCATCCCCCTCAGAGTTTGAATATGTAGAAAACAGCTTCAAAAGCTGTGAGAAGCAACAGAAACTGAAGTCTGCTTAGAAAGATACATGATTAGAATTGGTTATGAAAAACAGTGTGACATTTGTAAAATGCAAATAAAAGGAAACTGGGTTTAAGGGAATTATTTTGAGATGTAAGTTACAAGTTGTTTCTGGACTTTGGGTGGCCTAGAGTGGTGGCTACTTCAATTTTCCCTCTTAGATTAGTTTTTATGGGTAGAATATTCCAGATCCCTCTCCAGTTTCTGCAGGTTGAAAGCCTAGGGTGGAGGCAGGGACTATGCAAACAGGTATTCCTGAATCTTTTTTGAGCTGTTGCCCTGCTCTGTGGTCCTTGTGGCTGTAAAGACACACTTCTTTCAAAGCAACTTCTTTGTTTAAACAGTGTTGGCATTGGCCAGGCGCAGTGGCTCATGCCTGTAATCCCAGCACTTTGGGAGGCCGAGGTGGGCAGATCACCTGAAGTCAGGAGTTCAAGACTAGCCTGGCCAATATGGTGAAACCCCATCTCTACTAAAAATACAAAAATTAGCTGGGTGTGGTGGTGGGCACCTGTAATCCCAGCTACTTGGGAGGCTAAGGCAGGAGGATAACTTGAACCCGGGAGGCCAAGGTTGCAGTGAGCCAAGATCGCACCCTTGCACTCCAGCCTGGGCAGCAAAAGTGAAACTCCACCTCAGAAAAAAAAAATTGGCATTTAAAAAAATTGACTAATAATTGTTCATATTGATGGGGTACATACTGGTGTTTCTACACTTACCATATATAGTGATCAGATCAGGGTATTAGCATATCTGTCTCAAACATTTATCATTTCTTTGTGTTGAGAACATTCAATATCCTACTTCTAGCTATTTGAAACTATAATATATTATTGTCAACTATAGTCATCCTATAGTGGTATAGAACACTAGAACTTAGTCCTCCTATCTAGCTGTAATTTGGTATATCCTTTAACAAATCTCTCCCTATTCCTTCATCCCCCTACCCTTCCCAGTCTCTAGAAGCCTCTGTTCTTCTTTTTACTTCTATGAGATCAACTTTTTTAGCTTCGGCATATGAGTGAGAATATGAGGTGTTTAACTTCTGTTCCCGGCTTATTTCACTTAACATAATGTTCTCCAGTTCCATCCATGTTGCCATGAATGACAGGATTTCATTCTTTTTTATGGCTGAATAGTATTCCATTGTGTATATGTACCACATTTTCTTTATCCAGTCATCTGTTGTTGGACACCTAGGTTGATTATGTATCTTGCTGTTGCAAACAGTGCTGCAGTAAACATGGGTGCAGATATCTTTGCAATATAGTGATTTCCTTTCCTTTGGATAAATGCTCAGTAGTGAGATTGCTGGATCATATGATAGTTCTGTTTGTAGTTTCTGAGGGCCCTCCACAGTGTTCTCCCTAGTGGCTGTCCTAGTTTACATTCTTATTAACAGTATATTAGAGTTCCTTTTTCTTTGGATGCTCACCAGCATTTGTTATTTTTTGTCTTTTTGATAATTATCATCCTAAGTGGGGTGAGATGATGCCTCATTCTGGTTCTTATTTGCATTTCTCTGATAACTAGTGATGCTGAAGATTTTTAAATGTATTTGTTGGCCATTTGTATGTCTTCTTTTGAGAAACATCTGTTCAGATGTTTTTAATTGAATTGTTTGTTTCTTTGCTATTGAGATGTTAGAGTTCCTTGTATATTCTGGTTATTAATACCCTTGTCAGATAAGTAGTTTGCAAATATTCTCTCTCATTGTGTAGGGTGTCTTTTCACTCTGTTGTTTCATTTGCTGTGCAGAAGATTTATAATTGGATATATTCCCGTTTATTTATTTTTGCTTTTGTTGTCTGTGCTCTTGAGGTCTTATTCATAAATTTTTTTCCCAGTCTAATGTCCTAAAGCATTTCTCCTGTTTCTTCTGGTCATTTTATAGTTTCAGGTCTTTTTTTTTCTTTCTTTTTTTTTTTTTTTTCCTGAGACAGAGTCTGGCTCTATCGCTCAGGCTGGAGTGCAGTGGTGCAATTTCAGCTCACTACAACTTCCGCCTCCTGGGCTCAAGCCATCCTCCCCTCTCAGCGTCCTGAGTAGCCGGGACTATAGGCACGCACCACCATGCCCAGCTAATTTTTGTATTTTTTATAGAGAGTTGGGGCTTTGCCATGTTGCCCAGGCTGGTCTCAAACTCATGAGCTCAAGTGATCTGCCTGTCTCGGCCTCCCAAAGTGCTGGGATTACAGGCATGAGCCACTGCGCCCAGCCAGTTTCAGGTCTTACATGTTTAGTTGATTTTTGTATAGGGTGAGAGGTGGGGATCTAGTTTCATTCTTCTGCATATGGATATCCAGTTTTCCCAGCACAATTTATTGAAGAGACTGTCTTTTTCCCAGTGAGTGTTCCTGGCGCTTTTGTCAAAAATCAGTCAGCTGTAAATACATAGATTAATTTCTGAGTTCTCTATTCTGTTTCATTGATTTATGTATCTGTTTGTTTGTTTGTTTGTTTGTTTTAAACAGGCTTAATTCACTTTATTTTTCTTGTATAAAAACCCTGTGTTACTTTGGGAAGCCAAGGTGGGCAGATCACCTGAGGTCAGGAGTTTGGGAGCAGCCTGGCCAACACTGGTGAAACCATGTCTCTACTAAAAATACAAAAAATTAACCAGGCGTGGTGGCATGCACCTGTAGTCCCAGCTACTCGGGAGGCTGAGGCAGGAGGATCATGTGAACCCAGGTGGCGGAGGTTGCAGTGAGCCAGGATCGCACCACTGCATTCCAGCCTGGGTTACAGAGCAAGGCCCCATCTCAAAACAAAATAAAACAAAAAAAACCCAACCCTGTGTTGCAGCCACAGCTGCAGCCTGGGTCTTTCACACAGAGACTCTGGTGTGGGTCTTGACAAAATGGTCAGTGAATTCCTGAGAGGAAGACTTGGTGAATACAGTCTCCTCCCAGAGGTCAGGGGGCAGGTAGCTATAGGTCTTGGAGATGGCATCAAAGGTGGCCTTGGCAAAGTTGTCCAGAGTGGCAGTGCGGCTCCTGGCTGAGGTGTAGTGGTTGTCAATACTGGACATCAGCAGCATCTTCTTGGGCACAGAGGCCAAGAGGATGCCAGTGCCTCTGGGTGCAGGGATAAGGTACAGCAGCACGGAGCTGCAGCAGCCTGTCACCTTGCAAGGGACAGTGTGGGGCTTACGATCTTGGTCCCCCAGTAGCCTCTCTGCACGGGACAACGGAGAGCGTAGCCAGGATGATGATCCCTCTGACAGCAGTGGCTGCTTCCTTGGAGCACGTAACACCCAGACTGACGTGGCCATTGTAATCCCTGATGGCAACAAACGCCTTGAACCTGCTGCACTGGCTGGGGCAGGTCTGCTTCTGCACTGGCATAATCTTTAAAACCTTATCCTTAAGAGAGGCCCTCAGGAAAAGGTCAATGATCTCAGACTACTTGATGGGCAGGGAGAAGAGACAGATCTCCTCCGGGGACTTGATCTTCATGTCCTTGACCAGGCAGCCCAGCTTGGTGACAGGCATCCACTCCTTGGCCTGGGCCTTGCCTCTGAGAGCTCCCTGCAGCCTCGGCCCCTGCCCTGACTACAGCCACAATCCTAGCCCCAGAAGCTGCTGGCAAAGCTTCCATCGTTTCCCATTCCAGGCCTCTGGGCCCTCCTGCTGCCATGGTGTCATCTACCATTTGGTGTTTTCTTAGAGAAAAACGTGTCTGTTTTATGCCAGTACCATGCTGTTTTGGTTAATATCGCTTTGTAGTATATTTTGAAGTCTAGTAATGTGATGCCTCCAGCATTGTCCTTTTTGCTTAAGATGGCTTTGGCTATTCAGGGTCCTTTGTGGTTCCAAATTTTAGGATTTTTTTTTTCTATTTCTGCAAAGAATGTCATTGGTGTTTTGATGGGGATTGCATTGAATCTGTAGGTTGCTTTGGGTAGCAACAAAGTAACTTTTGAGAAGGGAACAGCCCCTCCCCAGGACCACCACACTGCTAGTGGCTTGAGGACTTGCTGCCCCATGGCATGTGGGATCAGATCAGTTTGTCAAACCCACAGAGGGCACCTGATGACCCTGCATTCCCCTCTGCCACAAATGAGCAGCTTGGCTTGATGGTCAGGGACAAGCCAGCACAGCGTCTCCTGGTGCCAGCCAGAATCTTGTGACAGTCTCCCTATCCAGAGACTGCTGGCTTGGGTCAGACCCACTGCCACTTGAGCAGACCCTGGGGACTTGCATCCTCCCAATGGCCTGGGCCTGAGCACTTGCCCTGCCCTCGCAGCCGGACACCCGCATGGATGTTCAAAGCAGCCGGGCAGCACCTCTGACCTCCCCGCCTCCCTAAATGGGCAGCTGTGGCTGCCAGCCCCACTCAGACGCCTTCCCTCAGTGCCAGCTCCAGGCTCTCTCCTCAGCATGTACATTCTGCTTTTCCTCTCAAAGCTGGAAGGACTTGAAAATAGATGTGGGACAGATTGGCCCCACATAGGTCATGAGCTGATAACAGTCACTCAACTGCATGAGTGCAGTTTTAGAGATAACCTCATTAGGGTGACTTATCAAGATATGTTCATTGATAATTAGGTAACAGAAGCCAGATTTTTTTTCACCCACAGCCCTAGTCCCTCTTCTGAACATCCTCATCTTACTATACAGTAGACATTTTGTCAAAGGCTTTCAATCAAACTGCCTGGGTTCCAATCACAACCCTATCTCTTATAAGCTGTGTGTCCTTGGGCAGGTTACCATCATCTCTGTGCCTCAGTTTCCTCATCTGTAAAAGGGAACCATAATAGTAACTACTTTACCATGTTGATGTGAAGATTAAAAGAGCAAACATGAGTTCAGTGCTTCTCAGAGGGCTGGCCCTCAGGAGGCCCCCAGTCAGTGTCAGTGATGTATTATTCCTTTATTTTTTTTATTTTTTTTTTGAGACAGGGTCTTGCTCTGTCACCCAGACTGGAATGCAGTGGCACAATCATGGCTCACCTTGACCTCCCAGGCTCAAGTAATCCCCCAACCTCAGTCTCCCAAGTAGCTGAGACCACCAGGTGCACATCACCTAATTTTTAAATTATTATTTGTAGAGATGGGGTCTCGCTATGTTGCCCAGGCTGGTCTCAAATTCCAGGGCTCAAGCAATCCTTCCACCTCAGCCTTTCAAAGTGCTGTTGGTATTACTCATATAGTCAGAGCATATTTTTTCCTCCTAAGAAGGGTAGGCCACGTTTTTTGTTGCTTAGATGGAAGGAGACTTAGGCCATGGTATAAGGTCCTGGGAAGTCTCTTCCTGTAACTGCAGGCCACAGGAATGGTGGTCAGCTGGCACCAGACAGAGCCAGCTGGGCTAGAGGGAGGGCTGGCCACTGAAAATGCCAGCCCAGCCTGCTTCTCTGCTGTTGGCCTCTGGATTCATCTTTTTCTGTGTGTCCCAGTCATTAGAAATTAAGCACGTTTCAGTCCTGTGCCTTCTGGGTGTCACAGACATCGAAGCTGTGCTGGTAGGGATCTCCACCCACCCCAAGATGGTCTGTCTGGGGAATTCCAGACTGGGCACTCAGGGACAGCCTTACTTCACAGGGAAGGTGGTTTCTTGCATCTGGTCAATAGCAATTAGCTGCACTTAACAGCTTAGGGAGGAAGGCTGGTGTCATGGTGACCCTATCACCACACTGCTATCTTGGGTATCTGTTTGGGCCCCAGGACAGAGGCTGTGGAAGTCAGGGACTGCTGGTCCTTGTGTCTGCAGGACTTAGCCCCGTATCTGGCAGAGTGGAGGCTTGGTGAGCATATGTTCTCACACTCATTCTGCAGATGACGCCTGGCATCTGTGCTGCACATTGTACACTGTTGCTGGTACTGAGGAGGTACATGGTGGTGAAAAGGCCATCCCTGTCCTCCCTCCTGAGCGTATATGTAGTGTGAATAGTCACATCGGCAGCAAATACACATCACTCAGATAGTCTGAAACTGTGATGAGGCTCTGACCTGATAAATGGGGTGTGTGATCCAGAGACAGTGGTTTTCCAGGAAGTTGATGAAGAAAGGCCTCTCCCAAGAGCTGATAGTCAAGCTGAAATCTGAATGACAAGGACAAGCCAGGCACATGGGGACCTAGGAAGAGCGTATCCGCCAGGCAGAATATCAACTGAAAGGAGCAAGCCTGAGTGATTGGGGAACAGCTCAGAGGCTGCCGCTGAGCATCAGGAGTGAGGGGTCTGGGGGTGGGAATTGCCCAGATGGGCAGGGCCAGCCATGAGGGTCTGGGGGACTATGGGGAGGAGCTTACGCTAGGGGTCATGAAAGCCACTCTAAGGTGTTGTGTAAAAGTGTTTAGTGATAGGGTTTGGGTTTTCAAGGGTCCCTCTGACTGCCACATGGAGGACAGACTGTAAGAGGACAGTAAAGAGGCAAGCTGTCCAGGCCAAGGATGATGGTGGCTTGCCTTGGTGGTGATGTGGCGACAGAGAGAAGCTGAGAAACTGGCAGTGGAGTGAATTATGCATGCACTAAAGCAGGCCCTGACAACACAGTACCTCTGCCTGGGCGCTGGATGACCACACTCCTTCCAGAGACATAAACATGCTGCTGTGGGACCCCAGCACAGACATCCGGGAGAGCCTTCTTAGCGTGCAGACCCCAGGGATGGAGCCAGGTGCCCCAGGCCGACCCTGCTGATTTTGTGACCACTCATCAGTGGATGTGCTGGTGCAAATGGACGGCATCGTGCGGGATCAGAAATGGTGGTTCACAACACCCCCACAGTACTCATCATAGAGACTCTAAGGTTAAGAAGACCTCCAGGGGAAATCTTAGACTTCAACCTCTACCTGTAACTGTTTCTCTTAGAAAGTGCCAGAAGCCTCCACATAATTGAACTTTTGGAAACCTACCTGTTGGAAAGTTGAAACCATCTAATTATCATGAGCTCCTCTTTAACTGGGCCCCACTGGGTGCCCCACCAGGTGCTTTGTTAGCCTATTTTATCTGCCAGCAACCCTGTAAAGCAGGTTAGTGTGCCCTTTTGCAGATGAGAACACTGAGGCTCTGGGAGCTTGTCAGGCTTACTCACAGGGCCTCAGTCCAGCCACAGAGCTGGGTTGGACCACATCTGTCAGGCCCCTCCCCTCCCCTTTCGCCCAGCTCCGCCCCGCCCCGCCCAGTTCAACTCCATCCCGCCCTTTCCCGCCATGCTTCGCCCGCCCCGCCCACCGCGCGCAGGTCGTCAGGCAGGTCCTCGTCCAGGTCGCCCTTGACAATCTTCTCCAGGGTGCTGATAGAGATCTCCAGGAGCTTCTCGTGGTGGTGGTTCTCCAGGTCCCGGCACTGGGCCATCGTGCAGCCCCGAGTTAAGCAAAGGCCAGGGAGGAGCAGGCCCAGCGCGTCCCTGATTCACTCAGAGGGCCGGAGACAGACTTTAAGGGCCCAAGGCGAGCTCGGAGATTGCGGCTGGTAGCACCGTCCACCCACAAGCACCCAAGCCTGGGCCATCCCCGACTCCCCGCCCCTGCCCCACACCTCGGACGGACCTTTGGCCCCTGCCATCACCCTCTTCTCTCCCTCCTGCATGGAGGCTCCTGGCGCTAGTCTCTGGGTTACCAGAGTGTGCTTGCTGGCAACACAGGGGGCTCATTTCTCAGTGAACATCACCCATATGAGAACAATCATACTGGGACCCTACTGCAAACAGTTTGGATGTTGTCCTTCTAGGCATCCAAACCACAGCTCTAAAAGACCATCAGTGTTCTGAGGGTCGGGAAACCCCCTCAGACCCTGTGGAACATTCTTTTGTCCAGAGGCCAGGACAACCCCAGGGGCTCTTTAGCACCTCCCCATGGGGGAAGGTCATCACAGAAAGGATATAGGCTTTGGACATTTTCGATAAACAGTCCCACCATGTCAACAATGTTCCTTTCAAACATGTTTATAGTCTCCTGGAAATGTTAAAGAACACAGTTAACATGCATATTTAGACATCCAGCACAGAGCAAAAGGTGCTCCTTAGAATTTAGCAACCACCTCCTCTAATCACAGACCTTCGGGGTAAAGACCACCCATCTTGACCCTCCTGAGCAGATGGTTATGAACTGACCCCTCTGCTCTCTCTAGAGTTGTTCTCCAACCATATTAACTCCCTCACCATCTGAATGTTTAATGCTGTCACTGGAACTTTGCCAGGAACACTTGTCCTGGTCTTACTCCCCTTACCTGCCTGCCCAACACACACACAGAGCCAACTCCCTCTCCTTTGGGTTTCTCAGTGACATCTGTGCATCACCTCCAGGGAAAAAGTGGAGTGAGCTGTTAAGAGCTAGACTGCCTGGGTCAGTATTCCCAGCTCCAGCACTGCGTGTAACTCTGGGAAAGGCATTTCATCTCCTTGGGCCTCATCTTCCTCATCTGGGAAATAGATTTCCTGCATAATCCCTGTGTTGTGGAGTTGTGGTGAGGTTAAATGAATCACTTCACACAAAATGCTTTGCCTGGCCGAGAGGAGGCCCTCAGTAGGAACTGGCTGTCACCCCAGATCTCTTTCAGTTAGTTGCTGTTTTGTGGTGGTTAGCAAGGCACCTAAGGCCCAAATGGGATTTAGTGTTGACTGAAGGAACAATGGAAGATGTGATTTCCAGGCCTGCCACTCTGGAAGTGCCCCACCCCCATCTGCCATAGACTCCAGGGGCTGCAAGGTGGGCAGGGGTGGAATCTATAGGAACGTGAGGACTGTCTGCAGAGTGAGCACACTGCACTATTTTCAAACACATGCATGTGCTGTTCTTGTGAATAAAAACAGGGTCATTGAAAAGCATGATTGCCCTTGTGGCTTTCTGGTCACCGGTAATACAAGTAGGATGGCACACGGATTCTGGGAAACGTTTGGATATTGAAAAGCAATCTCCTTGCCTGAAAAGGCTGGGAGCTGCTGCCTCGTTCTCCCCGGCACTGTGCGCTGCTTCTGCAGTGCCTGCGTTCCCCAGCGGGGAGGGAGCACCTGCCCTGTGATGTGATGGGGAAATCTATCCCATGTCTGAGGTGTCACTTGACGTGTGAGGAATTGATTAGGCGCTATCACTTGGCCCAGCCACATCAGCATCCAATGAGGTTCAATTCATCACATCACTTCAGACTCCCGGCCTCCGCTGCCTTGTAACACACACACTGGCCGCTAATGAATTTCAGACAGCGGCGCTTTTCATTTCCACTACTTAGTGCTGAGTTGCAGCCTCCTCGCATCGCCTGAGAAGCGGCAACCGCAGGCTGCAATGCGCGGGGGTCTTTGTTTGGTCCCCCAAGTGGGGGTCCACTTTGCCTTTAGAGTTCCCTGGATAGGTCCAGGGGTCTAATCAAAAACCTCTCCCCACTGACTTCCAGGATAGGGGGAACATTTCAGAAGAATGAGCTCACCTCTCATTTTCCACAAGAATCACTTCCAATCTAAATGATTAAAATATATCAAAAGCAAACACAGGACTGATGAGCAAGAAAGCTGCAGCCTGGCACTCTGAGTCATGCTGGACGTTTCCAGCAGAGGCGTGCCCGTGAAGGCTGCAGTTCACCTATGGATGTGCAGCTGCATCCCCAGATCCTGGCACTTGTGCCCAGGGCCCAGCCTCACCTCCAGCTGCTCCACCAGCTGCATCTCCAGCATCATGAGCTCATTGAACAACTCACTGACGTCAGCGCTGCATTCCAGGATCATCTTCTCAATGTTGGGCAGTTCCGACTCCTCTCGAATGGCACTTAAACTCTGGAAACAATAGACTGCACTTCAGGAATCAACAACTAAGTGTAATTAGATAGTGGCAGGTGGCAATTTGGTTTTGTGGGTAAGAATTTGGGCTCTGGAGTCAGCCTGCCCAAGTGCAAGTCTCAGCTTTGCCACTTGCTGGCTCTGAGAGCTTGTGGAAGCTACCTACCCTCTCCATGCCTCCGTTTCTTAGTCTGTAAAGTGCAATTGATAGCCCCTACCCTTGACACAGGTAAGAGAACATATGTGAGGCTCTTTGAGCACTAGCAAGTGCCCACTCCCTGTTAGCTCAGGTTTTTATTAGAGGCTGGTAGGCAGGGTGGAAGCAGCCATGGTTTTCATGGGGCTCAGAGCATTTCACACCAAAATACGCTGCTTTGGCATAGTGATTATTTTGAGTTAAAGATACTTAAAAATGCCTGTAATCCCAGCACTTTGGGAGGCTGAGGCGGGCAGATCATGAGGTCAGGAGATCCAGACCATCCTGGCTAACAGCGTGAAACCCTGTCTCTACCAAAAATACAAAAAATTAGCCAGGCGTGGTGGCGGGCGCCTGTAGTCCCAGCTACTCGGGAGGCTGAGGCAGAAGCATGAGGTGAACCTGGGAGGCGGAGCTTGCAGTGAGCTGAGATCGCACCACTGCACTCCAGCCTGGGTAACAGAGCGAGACTCTGTCTCAAAAAAAAAAAAAAAAGAGATACTTAAAACAGAAAGTGCAAAGAGAACACCCTGACCTCCCTTTTTCTTCCTGAAAGCAGGAGTTAAGTCTACCATGGGAAAGGTGCCCTCCCTGTACCAGGAGGAAGGAAACTATTCTTTTTTTTTTTTTTTCTTTTTTAAAGACGTAGTCTTGCTCTGTCGCCCAGGCTGGAGTGCAATGGCATGATCTCGGCTCACTGCAATCTCTGCCTCCTGAGTTCAAGCAATTCTCTGCCTCAGCCTCCTGAGTAGCTGGGATTACAGGCACCTGCCACCATGCCTGCCTAATTTTTTTGTATTTTTAGTAGAGACGGGGTTTCACCATCTTGGCCAGACTGGTCTTGAACTCCTGACCTCGTGATCCACCCACCTTGGCCTCCCAAAGTGCTGGGATTACAGGCGTGAGCCACTGCACCCGGCCAAGAAGCCATTCTTATCATCAGAGGGAGGGAGTCCGGGCCAAGCGGAATCTGTGTGAACAAGCCTTGTGAAACTTACCCTCATCTGCCTCGTCACTTCTCCACGATGAACTGCCTTAGCCCAAACCTCTTTGTCTTGTCACATTCTCACAATTCACTACTGTCTGTCCAACCAAGTGTAGAAGCTTTCGGCCCTAACGGCTTCTTGAGTCTTCATTTTGCTTGTGAATGGTCCCATGTACATGTGAAAATTACTCAATAAAATTTGTATGCTTTTCTCTTGTTTGTCTTATGTCAGTTTAATTCTTGGTCCTAGTCAGTGACCCTGATAAGCTAGAGGAAAAAATTTACCTGCCTTACAACTTCAGATTTAGGTGGACCTGAATTTGAATCCTGCCTGGGTCACTTAGCAGTGTGACCTTGAGAGACCCACTTTCATTCTCTGACTCAGTTTCCTCACTGTAAATGGGGAGAAGCATCTCTGCCTCACAGGGTCCTGGGGATCAGAGGAAGCACCTGGCGCACAGTGGAGCTCGGCTATCGGAGGCTCCTATAAAAGGCCTATCACAGGCACAGGCCAGGAAAAACTGGCAAGGAAAGACAGTTCCAGTCTTTGAGGAGACGAATTGAACCCACACAAAACCCCAGTGAGCAAGTGGAAGCTATTGCTAAATAGATGCTGAGCCCTTTGGAATGAGGGGGTGCTCAGAGGGTATATGGCAACCTGGGGTCCAAACAGCATTGACTACCAGCTGCTTACCAGCAAAGGGCCTGGGTTACCACCAACACCAGATGTGATGTTGGCTTGTTTTTGTTGATGCCTTCACTAGTCATGAAGGAGGATGGAGTAACAGCATGATTGAGGGGGGTGAATGACATAATAATAGCTACCCTCCCTGGAGAAAAACCAGGCTTGATCCCTACCTCAAACCTTACATGAAAACAAATTACTGATGAAGATTCACATGTAAAAAGTTAAACCATAAAAGTGCTAGCAGAAAACCTGGGAGATTTTTTTTTTTCCTTTGAGACAGAGTCTCACTCTGTTACCCAGGCTGGAGTGCAGGGATGCGATCTCGGTTCACTGCAACCTCTGTCTCCCAGTTTTAAGCGATTCTCTCGCTTCAGCTTCCCGAGTAGCTGGGAATACCGGTGCCTGCCACCAAGCCCAATGAATTTTTGTATTTTTAGTAGACACGGGGTTTCACCATGTTGGCCAGGCTGCTCTCAAACCCCCGACCTCAGGTGATTCGCCTGTCTTGGTCTCCCAAAGTGCTGGAATTACATGCATAAGCCACTGTGTCCGGCTAAACCTGGGAGATTTTTAATAATCTGAGACCTTGCCAAGTATAACCAGAAGATTGGTAAATTCTACTACCTTAAAAATTTAAAAATTATTTTAAATTTATTTATGTATTTACTTTTAAGACGGGGTCTTACTATGTTGCCCAGGCTGCTCTCAAACTGCTGGGCTCAAGCGATCTTCCTGCCACAGCTTCCCAAAGTGCTGGGATTACAGTTGTGAACCACCTCCCCCAGCCAAAACAATTTTAATTCTTAATGGTAAAAGCACCACAGACAACACTGCAAGATAAAACACAAACTGGGAAAAATATCTGCCCTTAATTTCACTGACAAAATCTATAAAGAGCTCCTACAAAGTAATAACTTTTTTTTTTCTTTTTTGAGACAGTCTTGCTCTGTTGCCCAGGCTGGAGTGCAGTGGCACGATCTTGGCTCACTGCGACCTCCACCTCCTGATTCAAGTGATTCTCCTGCCTCAGCCTCCCAAGTAGCTGGGATTACAGGCGTGCACCACCACCCTGGCTAATTTTTGTATTTTTAGTAGAGATGGGGTTTTACCATGTTGTCCAGGCTGGTCTCGAGCTCCTGACCTCAAGTGATCCACCCACCTTGGCCTCCCAAAGTGCTGAGATTACAGACGTGAGCTACCATGCCCAGCCAGGTAATAACTTTTTAAAAAAGAAAGGTCTGGTCTGATGGTAGTAGGTTATCAGAACTTATTAAATTTGGTGGGTCACTAAAGTTGGTATACAATCTCCCACTGCTAAATTTGACTAGCTAAAAAAAGAAAAAGAAAAAAAGAAAGAAACAGCCAGGTGTGGTGTTGTGTTCCTGTAGTCCCAGCTACCCAGGAGGCTGAGACAGGAGGATTGCTTGAGCCCAGGAGTTCAAGGCTGCAGTGAGCTATAATGGTGCACTGTACTCCAACCTGGGCAATGGAGTTAGAACCTATCTCTAAAAATAGTAATAATAAATAATTTGAGAGACAGGGAGAGAGAAACCAAAAACCCAATAGAAAAGTGGGCAAGGGCAAAATATAAGTACAAATAATTCACAGAATAGGAAACACAAATGGTTGTAAAACATGTATTGCTCATCCCCACTTAAGAGAAAATAAATGCATACTCAGGGTGCACAGACTGGCAAAATGAGGAAGCCCATGACACTGGCCTGACGATGGCTGTGGAGGCTAAAGGTTCTGTGGGTTACAGTTGGACAATAACCATGAAAAACAACAATGCACAGTTTCCACTTTTAGGACTTCATCCTGCAGGTCAAACTTGCACCAACTTATTCAGTGGAACACTAAAGAGCAAAAGGTTGGGAAAAAACCTAACTGTTCATCAACAGGGACTGGCTAAATAATTACGGCTCACCCATGCAATGTGATATTTTAGTTATAAAAAATGATATTTTAGTTAAAAAAAACGGCATCTTGAGGGGGAAGCTGTAACTCTGTGAGATGAATTAACAGAACACTAAGCAGTTTCTCAGAAAGCTTCTTTCCAGATTTCATCTGAGGATATTTCCTTTTTCATTTTGGAAGGCTCTCCAAGATACCTAACATAGGAAAGCAAAGTACAGAACAGGGCGAGCTATGCACACACACACACACACACACACACACACACAAGAAAGCAAAGTATAGTATAGGGCATGCTATGCTCACACACACAGGAAAGCAAAGTACACAATAGGGCATGCTACGCGCATGCGCGCGCGCACACACACACACACACACACACACACACACACAGAGATACAGGAGTAGGAGGGAGACCATATCCCCCGGTGGTCATTGTTCAGTCTGTGCCATGTGCACACACCACCCATTCGAGAGTGCAGCTGACTACACACAGATATGCTGTCATCCTTTTAGGCTGACTCTGCGCCAGGCCTTGCACAAGTGCTTTCCCTCTCTGTCTCTGTTTCTCACTACAGTTCTTCGAGGTGGTTATCTCTGCTCTGCACATGAGGAAATGGAGGCTAGGAGAGGGTCCATAATGGATCTCTGGGTCACCAGTGAGGAGTCTGCCTGAGCCCCAAGCCTTACATGGCTGCACCATGACCCTGAAACGTGGCTCACTGGGCACCTGGAGCAGCGCGTGTGCAGTGGATGAGGCCTAATGGGGGTGAGTGGGAGGGGCGTAGGAAAAACTATAGGAGAGGGCCTGTCAGGGAGGGAACTGGGGGTCTGCAGGGCCTATGGGGTCTTGGGAACTTCTAAGTCAGTGGCCTCTATCTAGGCTGTGCATGGAAAGCATCCATGGAACAATGGAAAATCCCTGTGCCAGGCCACGCCCCAGTCTAAGTGGGTGCTGCTGGGCCTGGATGTGAGCACATTTCCAGGGCTCGGGGACTCCGCATGCAGGCTGGGCAGGATCCACTGCTCTTGGCTCTAGAAGGGGAGCACTAGGGTAGTCAGCTCGTCCGAGGTGGCCTTTGAGGAGCTGGCCCGCACTGAAGGCAGGTGCCTGAACGGAGGAGCAAGTGGCACGTTCCATGCTCCAAGTCAGGCTTGGCATGGCCCACATCCTACTTCTGCAGAGGGACTCGCTGCTGAGGGGCTGGGTCCCTGCACCGGGCCTCAGGAAGCACCGGATAGCAGACACTCCCAAGCCCAGTGGCTACAGGGACCAGATAAATGTCAGGAAGAAAGGCTGGACAGGGACTGGGGGGACTGGAGACATGACCTGTCCAGAGGGGACAACTGCCACTCAAGCCCTGATGACAGCTGCTTCCAGAGAAGCTGGCAACCACAAATTTTTCTGCGAAATCTGCTAGTTTCTAATGTCAGCAGGATGTTCAAAATGTTTTAAAACCCTACACAGGCCAAATAAAACACATATGTGAGCCAAATGTATTCCTCCGCCGACAGTTTTGAACTTCTGGTTGAACACAGTAACCCCTGCTCCCTAAAATATAATAAGGAGGGTCTTGAGAATTAAATCACACAGCATGTGAGGCCCTGGAGGTTAATGAGACAGGAATGGGGGTGGCCGTGGGGGAGGCGGGAAGCACCTGGGAGTGGATCATCGGCTCCATCATATCTGAACTTGCGCATCGAGGGACTTTGCTCTACTTTAAGTTCACAACAAGGAAGGGCCTTATGGGATCCCTAAAGCCCCTTATGCTACAAGCAAGCTTGGTGTGTGTGAACAGTTTTTGGAGGAAAAAGAAGGTCCACAGCTTTCCTTAGCGTCTCACAAAGATCTGTGATTTACAATAGGCTAAGCATCCTGTCTTTAAAAGTAATGCCAACTCAAAGAGGCAGCTGCCATCAAATACAAAGACTGGTGCCCTTCCCAATGGCCTCTGCTTGGGCTGGACCCCATGGCCTGGTTAGGCCGAGTCCTGACCACCCAGAGCCTTCTCCTTTGCTGCTCCTAGGGGGTGGAGGAACACCCTTCCTCTCCATCAACTTTTCTTTCTTCTGTGAGCCTCAGCCTTCCCTAAACTCCCCCGCCTGAGATAAGGTGCCCCCAGGGCACCCCCAAGGCTCCCCAGGCTTCCCTCCAGGATGGCACTGATTCCTCTGCTTGTTCAGGTCAGGGCTGGGGCTTGGGCCTGGGTCTGAGCCCCACAAGAGCAGGAACCATGTCCAGTGTGGCTCTAGCTTCCTAGGAGCAGGCAGAGAGTAGAGCTCAGAAAACGTCTATTAAATGAATGAATGAATGAACAAAAGGACGGTAATCATTACTGTCAAAATAGTAATGGTAATACTAATACCGTTATTAATAGTAACGATGATGATAAGTTGGGGGGTGGAGCTGACCTTGAATCCCAAGGGCACTTTGTGTGACAAAGATCCACAGGCCACACGTCAAGTGGTGGGGAGCTGTAGTTGGTGGGGCTGGGGTAAGGCAGGCCTTGGCTCTGCCACTGATTAGCTGTGTGATCTCTGGCAAATGGGGACAATAACCATTGGCCTCAGGGGTCATCAGAGGGTACAGGAGTTGCAGCCCCTCTACAGTGGGGGTGGCAAGAGCAGGGAGGGCCTCCAGCAGGAGGCAGGGAGGGCCTCAGGAGGCTCGGGGCCTACCGACAAGTGCTTCTCCTCGAACTGGGCAATCTTGCGTTTGCCCTGCTCCTGGTTTTCCTGGATAGCCTCGTGGACACATTCACTGAAGGTGTCAAGCTCTACTTTCCGCTTCTCCTGCTGTTTCAGGCCATACTCAAAAATGTTCACGCAGATGATGACAAACTTGTCCTTGTAGGTGAGTGGCCGTTAAGGAAGTCCACAGCTGTTTCAGGAGCAGGCTGCGGTGGGCATGGCAAAGGTGTTGGTAACCCTGGCACTGTGCGCTCAACAGTGTGTGGGACTCAAACTCCTGGTCTCATGTGGTTCATTTGGTAGATGAAGAAATCAAAGGCCCAGAGAGCCAGGACTGAGATGTGGGTACAATGTGTGTTTGGTACGTCCCCACACTCAGCCTGAGGGATTCAGGAATGGGGCCTGTGTGAAGGAAGGAGGCAGGGACCACTGGGGAGTCTACAGAGCAGAAGGCAGACATGCTCAGAGAGGTCCTAGAAGAGAGGCCTAGGGAACCTGGGGGCCTGTGAGCCGGTCCCAGCTGGGGAAGCAGGCAGTGTGCGTTTCTGTCTCTTGTGTGCTATCTGGAAGGGCACCCTTACTGAGGGCCTGTCTTGGTGCTCAGCTGCTGCAGTTGTACTGGGGATGTTCAAGTCCTGGCTCTGCCACTGCTTCCAGGACCCATCCTGGCAAGTCACTTCACCTCTCTGGGCCTCAGTTTCCTCATCTGCAGCTGAGGGTGCAAAAGAGCCTGCCACATGGAGTCCTTGGAGTCAGGAAGGTAAAGCCCACGGGACCTTGGTGATCCTGTGGGATGGAAACTGATGCCCGGACAGATGAAATGCCTTGCCGAAGTCACATGGCTACACGGGGCTACAGCCAAGGCAAACCTGGGTCACCAGCTGGCAGAAACCACCCAGCCCGGGAGCTCTGCTGTTCACTGTTCCTCACCACCCTGCCCTCATTCTTTCCAGAATGTCAGGTGTGTTTGGTTGTTTTTGAGAGATGGTGATATGGTTTGGCTGTGTCCCCAACCGAACTCATCTTGAACTGCAGCTCTCACAATTCCCATGTGTTCTGGGAGGAACCCGGTGGGGGGTAACTGAATTATGGGGGTGGGTCTTTCCTGCGCTGTTCTCGTGATAGTGAATGAGTCTCACGAGATCTGATGGTTTTAAAAATGGGAGTTTCCCTGCACAGGCTCTTTCTTTGCCCACCACTCACATAAGATGTGACTTGCTCCTCCTTGCCTTCTGCCATGATTGTGAGGCCTCGCCAGCCAAGTGGAACTGTCTATCCAATTAAACCTCTTTCTGACTGGGCATGGTGGCTCTCGCCTGTAATCCCAACACTTTGGGAGGCTAAGGCAGGTGGATCACCTGAGGTCAGGAGTTGGAGACCAGCCTGACCAACATAGTGAAACCCAGTCTCTACTAAATACAAAAAAAAAAATTAACCGGGTGTGGTGGCACATGCCTGTAATCCCAACTACTTGGGAGGTTGAGGCAGGAAAACCACTTGAACCCAGGAGGTAGAGGTTGCAGTAAGTAGAGATTGCACAATTGCACTCCAGCCTGGGCAACAAGGGCGAAACGCTGTCTCAAAAAAACAAAACAAAACAAAACCCAAAACCTCTTTCTTTTGTAAATTGCCCAGTCTCAAGTATGTCTTTATCAGGAACGTGAAAACAGACTGATACAGATAGGGTCTCACTACGTTGCCTAGACTGGTCTCAAATTCCTGGCCTCAAATAATCCTCCTGCCTTGGCCTCCCGAAGTGCTGGGATTCATAGGCATGAGCCACCTCATAGGCCCAGAAGGTCAGGTTTTTTAGTGAATTTCTTTCTATCCAGTGAAGGTGGCTCCACAGACTCATCTGTGACTGGATGCCTTAGCTCAGAGCTCTCAGATCCAGGAGCTCCTTGATTCTGTCCTGAGTCCCTCAGCTCACAATTTAAGCCCATTGGTTGGTGGTCATGGCCATGGCCCTAATGACAGGTACCAATCACATCCTCTGGGCTCCAAGCAACTGGGGAAAGAATCAGCTTCTCAGGCCCCACAGACAAAGCTTCAAAAGCTGGCCTCTAATGGGGTGACCCTGGACAGTCAAGCTATGTTTCCCCCAACTATAAAATGGGGTTAATGATGGTACCTGCCTAGTGGTGTGGTTGAGAAAACAATAAATAGCAGATCCAAGTGCACAACAGGAACAAGCAAGTACGGCTAATGAGAACACATTTCAATCCACTTCTCCGCCGCTGAAAACCTGGCTTGCCAAACACGGCCAGCCCATGCCATGCTGACCAGATACTCCACATGTCCCTGAAATCCAGACAGCATCTCCCCCATGCAGCTCAGCTGACCTGGCTCTGAACTGCCTCTTGGGTACATTACTCTCAAGTGGAGATTTTGCCTCCCAGGGTCTTACAAGAGAGATGGAGAAACTGAGGCCTAGAGCGGAAGGAGTCTTGCCAAGGCAGGCTGGTGGCACAGGCTGTGAGACAGCCATGAACTCGGAAGGATATGCCTCAAGGAGCTCACTGACACCAGGCAGGTAGGACAGTTTGTTGCCCTCTGAGTCCTCAGCATACATGCTGTCAAACAGGAAGGAGCCGTTCAGGTGTTCCACAAACGCAGTCTGCAGGCAGAAACACACCTAGGTAGGACGGCTCCTGTCAGGGGCTCCTGCATCGTCTCACAGGCCCATGAGGAAGGCAGGTCAGGAGGGGGCATGTTCCAGGCAAAGAGAATGGCATGTGCAGAGGTGCAGAGGCGTAAAACTGCAGGCTGTTTCCAGAATGTTACACATGGCTCAGTCTGGTTGCAAGGAGGGGTGGGGACCAGTGGGAGAGAGACCAACAGGGTCTAGTCATGAATTCAGGGCCATGAATTCATGGGCTAAGGGACCTGAGCCGTTTCTGGCATGTCATGGGGAACTGCCTTAAGGGTCTGAAGGGGCCTCTGACAGACTGTTTTTAGCACATTCTCTCCAGCAGCTGGAGGTAGGAATGCCAATAAGGGGTAGGGTCAGGACTGAGACGAAGCTGGCCCTGGGGCAGGGAGCAGACGAGCCAGGCGGGGAGAGGGCATCAGGCCCTGTGGAGGGAGCATGATTTCTATGTTTTCAGAGCCTGGGGATCCCTGCGGACCATTTTACTTGATCAGTGCCCTCTTGTGGGCATCTCTGAGCGGGGCCGAGGGCGTGCAGCCTGCCAGGGCGGTACCTTGTGCTTCTCCAGCTCCTCCTGCCGCGCCCGCTCGTCCTGCAGCCGGACCTGCATCAGGTTCTCCTGGTGCTTCAGCTCGTCGATGCTGTACTGGTGCTTAGCCTCTGCAAGCTCTTTCTGACCAGGGAATGGGAGTGGCATCATTACAGGAGGTCCCTCCGAGCCACGCCGCCTCTGCCATGCCTCCTCTGCCACGCTGCAGCCTCCTGCGTGTGGGCAGGGATGTTGCACAGGGGCCTGTGTGAAGGCTGTGAAAGCCATGAGGTTTCGTGGATGAGAATGCCCATCTCCTGATGACCCTCACCAGGTTTCTGTGAGTGCAGGGAAATCAGGGAAAGACCAGGAGGAGCAGAAGGTGGCGTGGCAGGCTGGGGTTCCCGGGGCCAACCCCAGGGCAGGAGCCACAGCAATGGAGTGCTCCCCTCGCCCCAGACTGGGTGTTCTCCACAGAGGACTCGCTCTCTCACTCCCAACAGTTCTCAGCAGGCCTTCTGGCCTTTTTTTGGGGAAGGAGGACAACAGGACAGAGGTAGAGTGAGGTCACAGGGCTGGTCACAAGGGTCTGGCCCTTGGCTCTCTCCACCACACTGGCTCATCCCCCTGCACCTGGCAGGGAATGCTGGCACCTCTAGAACTCAGTCCCCGCCCCTTCTCACCTCACTCCACGTGCCCCAAGTGATCCCACCTGTACCATGGCTTCAAGTACTGCCAACTGGCAATCCTTAGATGACACTCAGGTCTCTACCTCCAGCCCTGACTCCGCCCCTGAGAGGCAGGCCTGAGCCTCTGATGGCCTGGTTCCCTCTGGAGCTCAGCTGTTAATACTGCTCCTGGGATGACACCAATTTGGGGTGAATCCTGGCTTGGCCTTGAGCCAGTGATCCTGGCTAACTGCTTGCCCTCCTTCAGCCTCCTCAACTTCTTTTCTTTTTTAATTTTTAAATTTTTTCATTCTGTTGCCCAGGCTGGAGTGCAATGGCATCTTCTCAGTTCACTGCAGCCTCAAACTCCTGGTCTCAAGCAATTCTTCTACCTCAGCCTCCTGAGTAGGCAGGATTCCAGGTGTGCACCACCACACCTGGCTAATTTTGCTAGTTTCTGTAGAGATAGGGTCTCCCTATGTTGCCCAGGCTGGTCTTGAACTTCTGGACTCAAGCGATCCTCCCGCCTCAGCCTCCCAAAGTGCTGGGATTACAGGCATGCGCCACTGCTCCCAGCCCTCCTCAGCTTCTTCATCTGGAAAACCAGACAGGGCAGGCCAGCTGTGATGTGGCCCTGGGACAGTGTGTGGAAGAGGCCTGGCCCCTAGGAACATGCACGAAACAGTACCCACAAGGGTGCTGCTGGAATCCCTCTGACAGAGGCAGGTAAAGGGATTAGGAAGAGGAAGCTGCCCTTTCTCTCCCAGTTGTGGGCAGGGAAAGCTACTCTTCAATGCCTCTTTTCCAAGAAACCTGGGGGCTTGAGGACTGTGTCTCACAGGGCTGGGAGACTGAGAGGGAGACACTTGCTGTGTGGTCATCAATGCGCCGGAAGTCCAGGTACACGAGGTCAGGAAGGTAGGCACAGATGAACATCTTGTAATCCTCTGCCTCAGAGATAGGGTTCCCAGAGAGGCTGAGCGTCCGCAGGCATTTGAACCGCCGGAGGTAGACGATCTGGGGAGAAAAAGGGAGAACAGCCCATTTTCTTTCTTTTCTTTTCTTTTTTTTTTAGATGGAGTCTCGCTCTGTTGCCCAGGCTGGAGTGCAGTGGCGCGATCTCAGCTCACTGCAAACTCCACGAAGTGCTCCACGCCTATAATCCCAGGCACTTTGGGAGGCCAAGGTGGGCGAATCACTTGAGGTCAGGAGTTTGAGACCAGCCTGGCCAACGGTGGCGAAACCCTGTCTCTACTAAAATATAAAAATGAGCTGGTGTGGTGGGCGGGTGCTGTAATCCCAGCTACTCCCAGGGCTGAGACAGGAGAATCGCTTGAACCTAGGAGGTGGAGGTTGCATTGAGCTGAGATCACACCACTGCACTTCAACCTGAGTGGACAAGAGCAAAACTCCATCCAAAAAAAAAAAAAAGTAAAAAGAAAACATTTTTCCCCATTCCTAAAATATAAGCTCTTACCCTAAGGGCAGGGACCCCATGGGCCTTGTTCCCCACTGTATCTTCATAACCTACCTGGTGGTGGAGGCCTGCTAGGTGACTAATAGTGTTTGCTGAATAAATGACTGAAAGAAATTCACTCAGAAAAGCATGCTATTTTTTTTTCTATCTTTTGCATAGTACAGTGTCTAGATGCTATCCAATGAAGGTTTTTTTTTTTTTTTTTTTTTTATTGAGATGGAGTCTCGCCCTGTCACCCAGGCTGTAGTACAGTGGTGCAATCTTGGCTCTGTGCAACCCTCTGCCTTCCAGGTTCAAGCGATTCTCCTGTCTCAGCCTTCAAGTGCTGGGACTATATAAGTGCCCACCACAAACGCCTGGCTAATTTTTTTTTTGTATTTTTAGTAGAGACGGGATTTCACCATGTTAGCCAGAATGGTCTCGATCTCCTGATCTCGTGATCCCCCCGCTCAGCCTCCCAAGTGCTGAGATTACGGGCGTGAGCCACCACCCAGCCAAAATATTGCTTTTTAAAACACTTTTTGCCATTACTTTTAATGGCAAAAACTACATTACTTTGCACCAACCTAATATTAACTACCTAGTTAACGTTTCCCATTTTACTAAAAATAGAGTGTAGGAGAGAATAATAAAGGTATGGAATGTTTCCCTGGCTGTTTATCCAGGGAATTCTCAAGGTTAGCCAATAATTGGGTTCCATTTAATTTAAGATATTTGTCACCTTTCATGGGCTTTACAATCTAAAAAGGCATTGCTGGCCAGGTGCAGAGGCTGAGGTGGGAGGATTTATTGTGACCACCGGTTCAAGACCAGCCTGGTCAACAGAGCAAGACCCCATCCACTTAATAAATAGCGGGGCAAGGTTGGCTCATGGCCTGGTAATCCCAACTTTGGGGGCCGGGCGCGGGGGTCCCTGACAACACAGTTTGCAGACAAGCCCTGAGCAAATGGCAAAAATTCCATCTTACTAAAACAACACAAAAATTAAGCCCGAGGGCATGGTGGCACGTGCCTGTAATCGTACTAGGGGCTGAGGCCACAGAAGTCACTTGCAACCTGGGAGGCGAGTGTGCAGATGCTGTGAGCGCCAGACTCACACTCTGCATACCCACGCCTCGCGGGTGACGGAGCAAGAACATTCATCTCAAAAATAAACATTAAATTAATTTAAAAGATTTTTAAAATAATAAGCGGTGTGCCTATTACTAGCTAACAGCACTAAAACTAACATTTACTGAATAGGTGTAATAGGCACTCTCAAATGCTTTCATAGTTTATTGTCATTTGGATCCTTAACAACCACCTGTACCACACCATGATAGTCCTCTTA